CGACCAGCCCAAAACCCATTCTTGCAGGATGGTACTTCCGATCACCATCCCACGTACGTGCCTGCGGTGTGCGCCCCTGCCAGTGGGCTTTTCGGGCTTCTACGCGCTAAGAGAAGGCTTTGCGGCGGGAGATGTCAGGCAAGCAAGCACGCAGAAACAGCGCATCTTTACAGCACGCCAGGGTAAAGATCAACATGGCTTGGATACTGAAAGGCAGCATATCCGGCCCGGGTATGGTAGTGCACACATCTGTCGCGCCAGGCTCTGCCCATGTCCTCCTGCCCTGCCCCTCCGTTTCTTTAGCACGAGGATGATCGCCCGCGCCCGCCCGTGGCCACGGCCGTGGGTGTGGGTGCCGGGGATGGCTGGCATGGTCGTGGTTGGTGCTGGTGCTAGTAGATGGTGAATGATGGTGGTGTTGATGTGCTGTCCGGCTACCTAAACTCGTTTCGGCCATGGGCTTCTCTCTGTCAAGGTCGACGACGACCGCAAGTCGGTTGAACCTGAAAACCGACAAGCCACTCTCGTCCTTTCTATCCCCCCTTTGGCGCTTGTCTGTGTGGCCATTTACAGTGCCTTGCGGGAAGGGGGCTGCTCCTTTGCCGAGCTTGACGGTCGTCGTCGGCGGCCATGACCCCCCAACCCCGCCCTTCCGGCGTCTCGGGCGGTTCGGTGCGGAAAATAAAAAAAAGTCGTAGGCAGGCAGGCAGACAGGGTTTTTGATTCACAGTTCCTAAAGACTACGTCGGGGGACCACCACCCGGATGGCCCCCATGGCAGCCCCGAGTCTCCCCGTCTACAGGTCCCTCGTGGGGAACTGATATCAAGAGGAACTCGCGAACGCCAGGGACGTTGAAGGAAGAGCTCGTACGGATATCAAGTAAGCCGTAGCAGTCTATGTAGTCTACATTTGCAGACGCAATGAGTCGACTGTGCAAGACACCTCCCTCTCCAACAGAGCTTCACAGCAGAACAGAAGAGTTTCTCGCCGCAAGGTGAGGGAGGGAGGGGGGTTCCGGGTCCCGGCCCTCCTAGGTCCCCCTCGGTCACGTTGCACGCGCTCGACGCGGGCGCATGTGCGGCCCAGCGGAGGAGGCGCTGCGCTGTCGTTGCGTTGCGTCGTCGGCGCATGTCGCTCGCTGCACGTCCGTCCTCTGTCGGGGCCCGGGGCCCCCCTCCCCTCCCTGCCGCTGCACGCACTGATGGGACGAGAAGGAGGACGCGGGAGGGAGGGGGAGCTACCGGTTCGATCGACCGCATGTACATCATGTATGTACAGTACCCATAGTACAGTACTGTGCTGTATGTGTCTTGAGGCAAGGCAAAGACTGACAGGCGCCCAACACGCACGCGCGCGCGAGACGCCGAGCCAGAGACAAGCAACGGCTGCAGTAGACAGCCAGCAGGGACCTGCGATTGCAGGAGCCGCTAACTTAACTTGACTTGAATGCATGCACTTGCGGCACACGCGCGCTGCGGCAGGACGCATACAGCGAGGAACGACGAAGCCATGATGCGTATCTACGCTTGCAATCCGTACTTCGTATGGAGTTACCGTGCAGCAGCACCGAAATACAGGGTGTCTATACGTAGCAAGATATGTGAGGCCTCGCAGTGCCTACCTGCATGCGGACGACCGATATTATGAGGCAGCTTCCATCGGTGACTACCTATCCAGGCAGATAGATCTTCTGCTTGACTTGGTAGTCCATTTCTCTCTCTCTGTGTGCGTTGCGTGAGCTACTGTAAGTACATCCAGCACAGGTCTGTAAAGCAAAGCAGCGCAAGCAAGAGACGCGGCGTGCGTGCCTCTCTGCACCTCCTCCTCCTCCTCTGCTCTTCCTCCACCACCACCCATCTTTGTTCGTGCGCCCATCCGTTTCGTACATGCCGAAAGAATCGCCTGCCGCGGGTACGCGCGGGAAGGGCTGCCGCATCGCATCGCATGTAATGTCCACCCGTCCCACCACTCACTCACCCACCCACCCCGCCCCTCCCTCTCAGCTACCCTCCCAAGACTTCCTCGTCCATTGAGACGCAGAGAGGGAAAAAAAGAGAAGGGGGAAAAAAACGTCAGACGAACGATGGGCTGGCCATGCTGCGGCGCGCGCGCGCTGTGCGCCCGGGGTGGGCGGCGGTTCGGTGGCATCAAGTGCAACCCCCCGGTCTTCCGTGGACCATGATCATGCAGGCGAGCGGGCAGACCGACGTGCATGCAGACAGTACAGTACAGACAGGTAGGCAGGCAGGCAGGCAGGCAGACAGGTGAGCAAGCAGACGGACGGGACAGAAACAGCCTTTCGTTTTCGTTTGTGCGTCTCTCTCCTCGGCCTCCAGAAAACGGCCCCGACTCATGTCCGCACGCACGCACGCACGCACGTCTTCCTTCACTTCCTTCCTTCCGTAAGTTAGGGCCTTCCTGCTGCTGCTGCTGCTGCTGCTGCAGGCATCAGGCATCAGGATACCAACACGGCCTAGCGCCCGCCCCGTGGGCACTGCTTCGCACAATCGCACGCTTTGGCGCAACAGCACTGCAGCCCAGGTCCATGAGATCTGCACAGCGCTCCCATTTGTAAGGTACTTCTTACTGACTCAAGGTACATATCTAAGGTACCTATATCAGGACGCATGCTTGGGGAGGGCAAAAGGGGCGGGGAAAGGCTGTTCCTTTGACATGCTCGCTCGCCGTTGGTGATGGGATATGCGCGCCTGCCTGTCTACGGCTGTGACACGGGGCGACACAGAGAAACGGGACACCTCACATGCGGCTGCTACTGCGGCTGCTCTGGTTCGCACGCCAGAGCTCGGCGCGCTCGCATGCTTTGACGGCGCCCCAGCAGGCGCACAGCGCACACGGCAGGAAACGGCGTCAACGGCAACATGTGTCGGTGTTGGTGGCGCACGCGGCCGTGGAAGGGCATGGATCCCCCAAGTACATACAGTCCTGCCGCCGTCCAGCCTGCCCGTTCCGCCTTTCTGACCACCGGGCCGGCGTCCGATATTCAAGTCGCGTCTCTCTCTCGGCCAGTGAGGCCGCCTCGGCGCGCATCCAAACTCCTTGAGCCGTTCAACTATAGATAGATGAAGTAGTCCGCCTCTTCCCGTCTCGCGTCTGCTCCGATGCCCAATCCTTGCGCTTCCTCCCCCCTTCTGTTTGGACGTCCGATAGAAAGCAACCGGGCAAGAGTGGCGCGTCGTCATTGGTGGCAACAAGTTGTGGACCAAGCCGAGGAGCCGACGCAGCTCGACAAGAGAGAGGCCCGTCGTGGTTTGTGTTTTTTGCGGTTTTTTTTTTCTCGTCGCCCGTTGCTCGCTGTTCGAGGCTCGCAGGGGCCCGCCAAGGCAACGAAACAACTCGACCAAAAAGACTTCAGATCATATGTTGCCTGCCTCGTCATTACTCCGAGATGCTGCCGGGGGACAAATAAGAATGTAGAGATTGGGGCAGCCGCACGTCGAGGAGACGCGGCCGCCCAAGTCCGCGCCTCTCGAGGGCGGCAGCCGTGTTAGGTGGGTGGTGTTGGGGGGAGTGAAAAAAACAACAACTGGTCATAGAATTTGTGTAACGCGTGCAAAATGTCGTGAATACCAAGCGCCCCAGAATATGCCTCTTTTTGTTCGTACGCCATTCGCCGATTCGGGAACTCGGTGTGCTTCGTTCGTTGCTCTCTGATGCAAGTGTCGTCACGTAGATGGCAGAAACGAGCCTCGCCCTCCTTGCCGTCATCAATCGCTCAATCATCTCGCCTGCCTCGCTCGCCGCGCGGCGCAGGCTCTGGCTCTCGTCGGTCCTTGTCGGATTGGCGCGCGGACGACCGGGGGGGCTCGGTTGCGGAGAAGACACCGGCCGTGGCATGCAGGTGGAAAAAAAATTGTGTGTGACCCCCTCACTTGTCGACAATCGCCAGCACCAACCCAAACAGCCCGCCGCAGCGAGCACCCCGCGGAGATTGCCGTCGGGGCGTCGGGGCGAAGTGAGCAGCGGCGCAGCTTATAACACGACGCACTTTGACTTGCTCTTTTCGCCGTCCTTGCCGCGCCTGTATCGCGGAGCTTCGCGCTCTCGCCCGCCAATGTCGCCGTTGCCCGTGCGCGAGCGTCCGCTCGAGCCTGCGGGGGGCCGCGATGCTTGCTGGCGCTGGCGCCGCAGGATCCGGACGACATCGTAGAAGGCCTTCTCGACGTTGATGCAGTTCTTTGCCGATGCTTCGACGAATTCGCAGCCCAGCTCGCGCGCGAGGGCGTGGCCCTCTTGTGTAGACACCTCGCGCTCCGTTACCCTGTCGCTCTTGTTGCCAACGAGCATTATGGGCACGGGCAGCTGGGGGCTCGCCGCAGATATGGGGGAGCCGGGATATGACGGCGATGACGCGCAGGATTCCTTGACGCGCTGGATCTGGTGGTGGAACCGCTTGATGCGGGTGAAGGAGGAGCGCGAGGAGATGCTGTAGACCAGCACGAAGCCCTCGCCGTCGCGGATCCATTGGTCTCTCAGGGCAGTGTATTCCTCTTGGCCCGCCGTGTCGAGCACCTCGAGCATGCATGGCTGGCCGTCGATGACGACCTGCTTGCGGTACGAGTCTTCAATGGTCGGGTCGTACTGGAGGCGGCAGCTCTTGTTAGCCCACGGCTACCAGGCCAGAAAAAAGGCGGCGCATGCGAGGCGAGCGCCGGGGTATGCGATGCTGCGCGGCTTCATGGGAACTCACAGTCTCAACAAAGTGTTGCAGACACAGTTGAATGGTCAGGGCCGTCTTTCCCACGCCGCCGTCTCCTAGCACCACCAACTTGTACAACACCATGCGGCCTGCCATGGCTGCAGAGCACACAAATCGTTCCTCGCGGGAAGCGAGCTGAGGATGGAACGAGTTGCGGGTGCGGCGACACGGGGAGCTGATCCTCTGCGGGGGTGCGACCGAGGACCGGTGTTTGGACGAGGCGGAGGCGGAGGCGGAGGAGGAGGAGGAGGAGAGGCGGAGGAGGGGTGCCGCTGCAAAAGCAACAGACGAGCGAGGCCGAGATGTCGAGAGAAGCAGAAGACGCTATCGGGCGGGCGCTTCGGAGTCACAGCCGGGCGTCAATGGGAAGGTCGGTGCAGGCGCCGCGGGGAAGAGGGTTTGGCAGGTCGTGGTATGTTTGGTCGCAGTAGCTGTCGGGAGCGACGACGCACCTCGCACTCTCTCTCTCTCTCTTGCTCTCACACTCTCCGTCCGGCTGGCTGGCTGGCGGGAGCTTTGCTTCTTGGGCAGACAGAGAGGGTCGGGGTGGAGAATGTGGGCTGCGAGCGGGTCCGGCTTCGTAGCGCAGAGAACGCGCGCCAGCACCCAGTCGAGACTCGACTCGAGAGGCGGATGAGCGAGCGATGGTTGGTCGTCGACGAGCGTGCCGACGAGCGATCCAGAACAGGCCGGGCGAAAAAAATAGGGAACAGGAAGCCGCCTGTCGGCCGGGCGGGTGCACGCGGGGGAGGGGAAGCGCGGGTTCGCTGCTGTTCAGAGCTGTTCCTCTGCGCTGCTTGGCCGTCGGTCTCCGGCTGTCTGTCTGGCTCTTCCGGCGGGGTGACAAGCGCAGACGGCGACAGAGGCAAGGCAAGCAGGTCAGGCCAGGGCTGCTGCTGGTGTACGGTGCTGGTGCTGCTGTATGCTACCTTAGTACTCGTTCGTAGGCATGTACCTAAGGTATGTACGAGTACGGAGTACAACAGAGCAGGTCGCTAGAGGTGCGATATTCTTAATTGGCGTTAGCAGGTGCAGCAAGCCCGCAGACAGCACCCGGCGGCGAGGGGGAGGGAGAAGAAGAGGGGTGGAGGCGGCGGGCGGGATGCCTTAGGGTCAGCGAGGATTGGCGTGGATTGGATGGGAACGGGGCCGGAACGGATAAGACAGGATCCTAGTCCAGAAGCAATCAGCGATGATGATGAGTGGTCGTGGTCGTCGTGGTAAGTCAGTTAGTGGCCGCCGCCGTTGGGGTGCTTGTCCGCAAGGTTGGCTGGCGGGCTGGTTCGCTTTGCCTTGGTGGTGTTGCTTGCTCCCGCTGCTGCTGATGCCGCTGCTGATGGCTCGCTGACGAAGATCCATCCACGGATGGCTCGCTGGAGCGGGAGACGGCGAGCTGGTCGGTGCGGTGCGTGTGCGCAGCCCCAGAGTGCGTGCGTATGAACGTGCGTGCGCGCGTGTCATGCGCAAGGCACGCTGCAATGCTGCACTGGACTCGTCAGCATCGAGGTTCGTACTGTACCGAGTAGAATGTACCGACCTGGCGTTCACGAGGTCTTACGCAGATAACCATGCGCGTAGGTCCGTCCCCATAGGATTACATGCGTACGGCATCGCAACCCATCGCACCACAACGCAACGCAACTGGCGTCTCCCGCTCGCCAGCACCTACGGGTTTTTACTTTGGCGCTGTCGCCCGCTCGGCTTTGGCGGTTGTCTGCCCGGTTTGGGACGGATGGCTGTCGACGAACCAGCAGCCACATGCCCAATCCGCGCGCCATGTCGAGTCGCGCCCGTCATGGCACGCTGCACCGCGCAAGCCAACATGAACCTCGGGTCGAGTATGTAGCACCGTAAGTACCCTTCCCGGTTCCCTGCGTCGAGCCGCAATTCTCGTGCTCCTTGAGGTACCAAGTAACTTACTGCCGACCACACTTCCAGCCCGCTGGAGAACTGCATCAGGAAGGGACCGGTGCTGCAGGCGTGCGTTTGTCACCCGTGCATCCGCCGTCCTGCACTGGCTGGCTGCGCTCGGGCTTGCAGAAGCTCGAGGCGCTGCTAATGCTTCTGCTACTGCCGCTGGAGACGAACACCGGGGACGAACGCCGGGGACGAGCGCCGGGATCCAGGGTGCCAGGATGGCTGCCAGGGCCTGCCACCACCACCACCTGGGCCCGACAAAGTGGCTGGCAAGGCTTGCGTCCTGCACCATCTGGCGTGTGGGCGTCGAGCTTGTTCTCATCCCAATGTTTTTCTGCAGCCGATTGAACGACAAGGATGCGTGGCGCTTGCCGGGGGGAGGCTGGTTGGGGGCCCTGCCATCCATTTGAACGACTGCATCTGCCTGAGCAGCCGCTGGAGATCAGTGGATTGGGTCAGGATCCTAGCGCCAAGTAGCCAAGGTTACTGACGCAGTCGCTCGCAGTTCGCACGTACGAGCAGCTGTAGCGCCCTCTTGCACGTACCTCAGTAGGTACTCTGTGCTAACAGCAACAACGGTTGGGTTGGGCTGGGTTGGGTCGTCGTCAGGTAGCATCAATCCGTCTCTGCCATGCCCGGTGGCGGATGATTGATGCGAAGGCTGGCACGGCCTGGTCTTCCATGTTGCTGGTGTCCACGGGTCCCTCAGCCCGTGCAGGCCCCTCGGCGGGGCGCTGGAGCTCTCCAGTCCCATGCTTGCTTGCGCGGTGGGTCATGGAGCTCTCCAGCTTGCCTGGCCGTTGTTGCTTCAATCCCATTGGGATCCAATGCTTGTGCTCCCCCGCCAGCGGGCCCCGACTCGCCCTTCCGCTGCTGGGCTGAGTCCTGTCGGCTGGGCGCGATGGCGGCTGGGAGCTGGAGCCCACCACACGCGGCGCCTTCCATGGGCCAGTGGAGGCTCCTAGGTACCGAGCCGTCACTGGACGGGGCCCGAGAGGGTAGCCAAGGCTGGAGCTGGAGGGGTCGAGGGGCCGGGGCCAGGCGACGTTGGAAACGGGGGCATCTGGCTGCGGGTCGGATCCTGCTGTGCTGACTGTTGAGCCCCCAGTCGATGTCTTGTGCCTTGACAACTTGACTCCTAGGGTCAGGTGGGATGAGTGCCCAACTTGGCATTGTACGTACGTACGTAGTACAGTACTTGTGCTTATCATTGCCTTGGCTCATCAATCAGAGGCCATGGGTTCTGTTTATCTTCTGGATGGATCAAAGTACTTGTGCTCAACGTTCCCGCAAGTGGCACGGGCCGGCGTGGCAGAAACGGGGCCCGCGCGGCGAGCATCATCGGCTTGTGGACGGTTCCAGGACAGGTCCTCTGTGCGCAGCCTGAGTTGTTGCATCGTTACTTTCCACGTTAGGGGTCCAGAAGGGTAGTTGCGCTCACCAATCCGCAACGACAAACCAGCCATAACCACCTCGTCGCCTCAAAAGAGAAAGCAGCCCGACAAAGGGGCGACCGCTCGGCACGAGGAGCAACGGCCCACCACGCGAGTTCCCGTGAATGTCAAGGTCCGGCATAAGTCGGTCCATTTTGGCTTCCCCGACTCGACGTCGACGTCCAGTCGCACCATCCTTCCGGGGATCACTACCGCACATCTGTGCCAGATTGGGTTGGTGGCTCTCAAGTAGCGACAGGAGCAAATAGGAACCCTCGGAGGCAACTCTGCACCGGGACATTTTCTGTCTTGTTCTGTGCCTTTGCCTTCGATTTGGAATTCGGTAGGTGCAAAGGGCATTAGGCACGCAGGCCGCGCGGAGCAAAAACAACACGACGGTTTGTGCTTGGTCCGCGCCAGCCCGTGACAACCCCTGGACCTGTCCGTCAAGTACGCGGTCGGCAATGTCGACGGCATGGGACGGCGGTGAAAACGACGACATCCATCGACAGTACAGCACTGTACGCCTTCCGTTGAAGCGCCGTTTCGTCCCACCCCGTCGAGCGCCTGTTTACGGTGCCAGCTTCGATGGCTTAGATGTGTCGCTGCGGCCCATGATGCAGCCAGGCGGGGCCGTCACCCAGAGCATGCGTGTCAGGCAAGATCTGTAACCGTCTTCCGTGCGGGTTGGGACTCACCTTTCTCACGTTGGTTGGCGACGGCATCGGACACGCCGACGGGGAGCCATTGGATGTCGATGCAACGTGTGCGGTGCAATTGCAGGTGTTTTTGATCAATTGAAGGCATGGATGAAGGGGCTTGATGATTCATGGCCTCAATGGCTGGCTCATGGTTGCATAGATACTGTACGGAACACGTCTGGTGCACGATGGTCTGCGATCAGTCAAGGAAGGCAGGCACCACGAAAAACCCGTACGTGGAAGCCACGACTCGCCCACTCCTTCCGCGGCAAATCGCACACCACGACCCGGCCAAAATCGACAAACTCCTCCGTGGCAGTCCTTGACTGTGGACATCTATACTGCAATGCCTCCGCCGCTGATCTCTCTCACCTCCGGACAGGCCTCGTCCGGCCCGGTGGTCAGAGAGCAGCGTCAGCGGCCCGCATCCCGACTCTCCAGCCTAGGGTCTCGTGATGTCGCTACTAATGGACTCAGCCGACGACCGTGTCCGCCAAAGCCACCGTTGCCGAAAACGACTTCACACAGCACGATTGAAGAGGTGGTGCCGAGCAAATGACAGTATGGCTGCCAATGCGGCTCGCAGAGCTCTCTCATGGTCAACGCGGGCGCCGCAACTCTCCGGACGGCGCGCTGTACCGGCAGCTAGGCGGGACACGCAATTTGCCGCCCAGCGCAACCACCGGGCTGACGTGCCAGCGGATAGATCATCAAGATGCATGTTGTGCGACCACTGACAGGTGTCTTGCCCGGAGTGAGCATGGGTAGTAGCTTTCGACGCTCGTCGCAGCATCGAGCCATCCGTGGCTCATCCACACCGAGACAGACACCACAAGTCGAAGTGGTCGGCCGGCGAGGGTGATCTTACCAAGCCGTACGGGCTCGACAAGCGCTTTCAACCCAGCAGGGCCGAGCTCGCTCGCGGAACGCGGGTAATCGATACCGACAACGGCCCCGGCGAACTAGTCATTGGGCTGCGTCGAACCGTCATGGCGTGCCATGCCGCATCGAGAGACACCTCGCCGTCCAGCTTCCTCAGCCAGCAACGCTCACCGGCTCGGATGTTGTCCCGCGGGGTTTCTGACCATGCGCGACCTTGGCGCCACTACCAACGAGCGTTCGAGTTCTCCAGCCGGCCTAGCTTGCAGCGCTCCCTCCTCCAGTCCGGAGCCGTGCCGGTGGTGTGGGCCGGTGACGGGGGGATGGGGACCCCGGCTCGCACATGTGCCATCCTGAAGCCCTTTGCAGCGGCGGTGGCGGCATGGGTTGCGATGGGTGTGTTCTCACACATGCCACTCGGGCCTTCAACTTTGACAATCACTTCTCACCCACCTCGGTGGGTAGACGGGATGGGCGTCCGATGTTCCAATGTTCCCCCAAGCTCTGGCGCGAACCCCCACGCAGAGGCTTCCTTTCAGCCATTCTCAGTGAGACAAGCTTCGCAACCACATCCTCCCTGTCGGAGCAGACGCGGTGCATGTCTCAAACCTGGCACCAACCAAGCATTTCTTGGGGGATTTCCTCGGATGCCACTTCGATTCACTGAGCGCGTCCGAAGAGCTTCCAGTGAGCTACGATCCGCCAAGACGGCTAAACTGCCAGCACCATTGCATGCGCAACTCATATTGCAAGCACAGTGTCACGGCCGCAAGGAGAGTCGAGACATTAGCCTGGCCACGTAACCATGCGATTCGTTGGCAGGTTTCAATTGTTGCACAGAAATCGCGGCAGTCGGCACGTCCAAGACACCACGAGCATTTGTCTCGGAGATATACCCCATTGCATATGTCCCGGATGCGCAAAGTGCCATCGTTGACTGCACTTGGATTTCACTACTCCGGAGATGCGAAGATGTGGCCCTCGATATAGAGTCTCTGGGCGGTATGTTCGCCCATCGTCTGGGCCGTTATCTACGCAAACGTCAGCGATGGTGGGAGCTTATGCTCGCTGGCAGTTTGGTGGCCCTCTCCTGTCACCGAGGGTAGCCAAAGGGATGACTACAGAGCCCTCCTGTCTTGACGCCGGCTGCTGAAACAGTTCCGCGCTGTCCGTGAATCGACTCGCTCCATCCAACCTCTCACGAAGCTGCCACACCATAGCAAGACCACTTTCGATAGGTACGATCAGACCATCCGTGCGTAAAGGGGCACCGCTGCACGCTGCCTTGGCACAGTTTCCACGTTCCGTGTAATGCGTCTGAGCTACGGTCTGCTTCGATGCTGCTGGTGGATTAAAAGACGTCCCGGAAGGAGCTGAACACATCGCAATCATTAAGATCCGCATTCAGTTACACAGCCTGGCAATGCACGCCTGCAGAGCTTTTCGTCACGATCAATGCAAATGTGTCATTTTGACACGCACGGCTGGTTGTCATGCCTAGGTATTATGTATGAGATCCCCCAACGTACCCAAGGGGAAACCACGTTGTGAGCTTGAACCGGGTGCAACGGAGGTAGAAGGCGGACTTCGTGCCGTTGCGTTGAAGCTTCAAGGGTGTCACGGCATGGGCTCCACGTTGCGAGATCCTCCGACTGCATCTCACTACGACTGTACATGTCGCCCTAGTACTGAGTCATGGCTCTGGTACGGTCGATCAGGCGGGTCGGCATATCGAAGTCTACGAAGCACTCGGGAGACCGATAGCACGAGGCCCTGCGGCGGCAAGCACACGGGTCATGTCATGACATGATTCCTGAATCCAAAATTTCCCTACTTGCTGCAGTCTGCATGGGTTCCACGTTTGCAATGCGAGACGGGGCCCGGCATGAAACAGCGCAGCAGACGGCTAGGATCAGGGTTTCTGTGGCCGGCCAACGACCATGTCCAGGAAGAATAAGCCGCAGAGGTGCAGGTCGCGGCAGGACTTTCCACGCGACGCGGGCAGTAACAGCAGGGAAGCGAATAACGATATGCGGGCTTCGTTAAGCCCGCCGCGGCCCGGATCTTCCAAGCCAAGCCTCGTGGCCTCCCTGCTGGCGACAGCGATCACGAAGCAAGCTCACCCAGCCGTTTCGCCAGTGTGACGAAGCCGCCTTCGTCCTCGGCGATCCAGAGGTCAACCCACTCGCGCGCGCGGCCATATCGCTCGTCGTCGCGGCTCCAGGCCTCCTCGCGCGGGCGCTCGACGTAGACGGTGCGCAGGCCGCACGCGCGCGCGGACTGCAGGTCCTCGAGGTGCGCGGCCACCATGGCGACCTGGCCCGGCTCGAGGCCCAGCTCCCGCGCCGCGCCAAGGTACGTCGCCGGGTTGGGCTTGTACGCGCGGAACGTCTCGCCCGAGAAGAGGCGCTGGAAACCCAGGGCGCCAAAGTCGTCCAGGTCCCGCAACAGGGAGACGTTGCCGTTGGACAGCGTCGCGGTCGTGACGCGGCCGCTGGCGTTGAGCTGCGCGAGCCCGTCGGACGAGTCGGGCCAGGGGCGGAGGCGGTGCCAGACGAGGCTCAGCGAGTCGAGCTCGGCGTCGGAATAGAGCCCGTGGAGGCCCCACGAGTCGAGCAGCGAGGCGAGGCTCTCGCGGGTGTGCTCGTCGATGGTCTTCCAGGTGTCTCGCTCCGGGTCGAAGGACCGCGTGAAGGCGCCGTACGACTCGTGCCACTCATGGGCGAAGCGTCCCCAGCCCTCGCCGTCGCTGCTCAGGGCACGGGCGCGCTCCCGCGTGGCGTCGTCGAGCGCGGCGTCCGGGGACGAGAGCTTGCGGTGGGCGCGCAGGGCGAGCTCCTCGGTGATGGAGCCGCGCCAGTCCACGACGGTGCCGAAGACGTCAAAGGTGAGGCCCTTGACGTCGGCGAGGGGGGAAACGGTGCCGGGGGACATGGTTTTGGGGTGCGTTGCCTCCGGGCGGGTTGTTTCCTACTGGCTGTGTATGCGTGTGTGCTCGTGCGTGCGTGCGTCCTTTGATACCTCGTAGCGGCTCTCAACTAGATGATGCGTGCCGGAGTGTGATGAAGGGGGGTGATGTTGCATCCGAGTGCGTTGTCTCGCCGCCGACATGGTGGTGTATATGGATGCGTCATTGGCGCAGGGCGCGATATGTCATTGCCCGCAGACCGAGGTAATCGTTTCGGATAAGGTGTCAGAGTGGATGACTGCACTGGCACATCTGGGCCGAAAAAGACGACATCATCACATGACAGGCCGGCAAGAGCGTCGTTGGAAGGATCATCTCACGCTTGCTGACCAAGGATATATGCGTCATGTTTGCTCGTCAAGGGATTGCCTCTGACTGCGCTGGTCGTCGGTCAGGTACCGAGCGCATGTGCAGTGCCTCGTGTGCGTCGTCGATGGCATGCCGTAGGGTAGGGGGGAGCAGAGTTGGAGACGCGACGTCGCGAGGGCATCAACAACGCGGCCGCCCTGTGATGCCAATTGCGCGAAAGGACCAACTTGGGTACGGTATCACCTACCCTGCTGTCAGGAATATCGTTCTGTCGGCACTACCTCGCGAATTTCTTGCTTCAGAAAAATCCTGGTTCTTGGGTCATGCGTCCGTCCCCCCCAGGGTGCGAGATCCAGGTTTCCCATCCCAACTCGTCCTCCCTCCCGCCCGCGCCTGGGGTCCTCCAACACCCATCCATCATCCACGCTGCTAAAAACTGTAGTAAATACACCCTGGGAACGCCATAAAGTACGGAGGATTCCGCACAAAGCAAACGATCATCAACACCACCACCCGAGGGCGAGCGCTCAGCCAACACCTCGTTTCAGATTAAAGATGGGCAAACGAACACCCTCCGTTCATCTCGCCACTCGCCCATGCCAATTGACAACTGTATTGCTTTGGGGCCGCGCTGCTCGGGATGAGGCTTGGCGCTGCGGTTGCGAGAGGGACACGACGCCGTCGAGCCGCGTCCATCATCCATCCCGTCCTGCTCCGGAGACGCCGCCGCCGCCGCCGCCGCCGCCGCTCCCACGCTGCCGGGAACTGTGTGCGGGATATACCTACCGCGCATCTCGTGCGAAAACCCGCGCCGCCGAGGTGCGACGAGGAAAGCGAAAAGAGACAGGGAATGGAGGAGGTGAGGTGATGCGTCAGTTCGTGGCTGGAGTGAAAACGAGACTTGGCGCTGCTGCTGCTGCCGCCGCTGGCCCGTTGCTCTTTGGGACGGGATGCAGCCCGACTTACATGGCGCACGGCGGCGGCATTGTGCGCCTCTCTCTGTCGCTCGCGCTCAGTCTCCGCGCACCCACGGCTCGAGAGCTCACATGCATGCAGCGAGGCGTACACCCCCCCCGCGCGCAACCAGCAGACGGGCTTTGATCTCCCGATGCAGCAGCAGCAGCAGCTAATTACTGTGCGGCGGAAGCTGGTCCAACTCCCCCGAACCAAAAAGGCCTGGGCGGGCGGCCCGCGATCCCATGCGTCCGCGTCCGCGTCCGTGTCCAGGCTCAAGTTGGCTACCTTATCTGAAGGAGCATCACGTACTGTACTAGGCAACGTTGTGATTTCATCACACTGGGCCCGCAAGGTGAATGTGACAACCGCGTTAAGCCACTTTCCATGCCGAATTGCGCGCTTTCCAGCATTTCGTCTGCCTGTGTCTTGTCCTTCTCTCCCGTCACTTGACACCACGGGGGACCGACGAGAGCGCCCCCCCGCGGGCCGACGCGCTGGCTGCTGTGTAACAGGATCCCCACGGCCATGTTTCTCCCCCGCTCGCCACACGGCGCCAAAAAGCCACAAGAGACGAGCCAACGCGTGCGTTTGCCCATCACCGACCCTCTAGAAGGTCGCACAGACCGAGGGCCAAAAGCAAAAGCGGCGAGTCGATCTTGGCTCTGGCATCGGGGGCTTGTTTCGCGACATGACGAATTGAATGAAACCCACAGAATTGCTTTTTATGACACTCACCCGGGCCCGTTTCCTTTTTTTTCCTTTTTGCCCACTTCTGGAGCCCCCTTTGGGGCGGCGGGTACGAAGAACGCGACGGCTCGATGGACCGGCCCGGGGGACTCGCCCGCCGCCGGCGGCTGCGAGAGGCGTCAAGCTTTGGCTGCCCACCATCTCGTGTTTTGCCACGAGGGTCTGACAAGCAGCACTTGGCAACCTTCTTCCATGGCGGGCTTGCTGTGTGTGTGTGTGCCGTTTATGATAGCGCGCACCAACGGAGTGCGACTAATCTGGGGTGAAGAAGTTGGAAGAGAACCTGGACTCGACCCCGGGTCCGGCTTCGGTGCAACCCCCAGTTGCACTCATCAGCATCAACGCTGGTTGTCGACCACGGCTCAGGCTAGGGTCATCACAGTAGTATCGACGGTTGAACGCGGCAGCAGATGGCCAAATGCCGCATCTGGTACCAGATTTTGTCCCGATTCGCCCGGCCTCTTTCTTGCATAGCTCGAGCACTTGCATCCGCTCCGTTGTAGTCAACGTATCGTCCAAGCTCGGGATCCAACGCCTCCAAACCGTATCACGTTCTCGTTCACCAGGGCCGGGCCACCAAGTTTCGTAGTGTGCAGATGAGAGCCAGATTTCTTGTTGGTCGGGGCTGGTGACGACGTTTGCTCAAGTCGGTACGCCTGTTGTTGCAAGGACGGGGAAGAGATTGAGCGAGCCAAGCCGTCGGACCCTGGGTCGGCTCAGCCTCGCGCCGCTTGGCTGTTCGCGCGCCGATTGCCGCACCCAGCAAGGGCAGGCTTCCCGCGTCCCCTATTTGGAAGTTACTTTTTTGGCCCGCGTTCATCTGTTCTAAATATGAAGCCATATCCCTGACATGGGCATGCATCGTGGATATCAGGATGCCGCTCGGACATGACTGCAAGGGCTGAGACCCGTCGCACAAGAAAGTCAGTCAATCGTCGTTCGTCCATCACTCGCTGGACCCGTACGAGTATGTACAACGAGCATGCCGGCGCTGCCGTCGAGTGGGAGCACAGACGGGCCCTGACAAGCCTTTCAGAGTTCACATCGACGCGGCTTGTCGATGAGAAATGGGGTCGACAGAAGCAGGTCCTGAACACCCCGCTTGGGTCCGGCTAAAACGGGTAAAGAGAGTCTTTTCTCGCATATCGCTCGTGGTGGTTCCGACCGGGTTGCCCACAGCTATCGCAGGAGCTTTGACCTCTTGCGGGCCGGCTGTCTGGTGATGCGTTTTCATGCATGCGGCAGGCATAGCCATGTCTGATCAGAGATGCAGTCGACGACCATGCCTCGAACCGTCGCACAGCAGCCGCATCCGTGCCTGAGCCGCTGTGGCCCAGCAGGAGCGAACTGGCTCTGCAATCGGGGCGGGTGCCATCATCAGGCCATGGCAAATGAAGCCTCGTCGCCCCTGAGCAGGGGTGATGCCTGTAACCCCGGCTTTCCGATGGCGAACGAGTGGGTTCCTCGCGGTGGCTGACTACGAAATGCCCAGCGACGACCAACATGGCCTCCTCTTGACGAATCCACTTGGCCGACGACTCGACGAATTTGCTTTGTCTGGTCTAGCGAAGTCGCCGTAGCGCGAGAATGGCCGGCGAGCCTGGTCGTTGCGCGCACCCACTTGATTTCTTTCGAAACGGAAACCGGAGGCATGAGTTCAGTAAGCCGTCGTCGTCGTCCAAGGCCGCCTCTGCTCTTGTTGGTTGGCTTCGTCAACGTCGGCGCCGTGCCCGAGCCCCCAGTCCAATTTCCACAAGCGGCAGACATGAAACGCAAGGCGGGCTGCCAAAGCTATTCTTTCCGAATGCTTGTCCATGTTTCCTGCCGATCACTGACGGCCTGTGGCGTGGGGGAGCAGCCGAAGATGACCTGCAATCTCGAGGCTGAGGACTTCGCGGAGCCAGGGGGCAATTCGGAGAGACCGGCTGCACAGTCCAGCCCATCTCGCCCACAGCCGGCACAGGCTGGGCACGGGCCCTGGCATCTGGCTCTCGTCAGTACCGAGGCCGCGGGACGCCGGTGCCCTGGAAGATCGGGGGGGACGGTCGACCAGGGAGCTGGACACGGATTAGCTTGGTGATGGGACTCGCATAGCCCGTGATGGAGTGCAGTAGGTGCGGCGCATGCGCTGGTCGAGGAGCCGGCGGGCGCAAGATGCTGCCAGCTCCGGCTCGGGCATGTCACCGCGAGCCTTGAAGGAACGGTGATGATGGCCCGAGAGAGAATCCTGGCCGACGGAGACTGCCAACTCGACGGTCCTCCTCGTCCCAAGCTCGCGGTGTCCACGTTGCGCTACGGCAATCAAGCACTGCATCACGGAGGAGGTTCGACGCCGTCGGGACCGGAAGCTTGCACGCGAGACGGGGGGATCGTTTGAGTTCAACGGTGTCGTGTCGTGCATGGCCGCCGGGGGAGACCCAGAACCAGAATGACCAGGGAAATACTCCATGCAGGCCTCGTGCGACCCAAGTGACAGACTTGCTCCGACGATGAATGAAGCGCAGCGCAGCAATGTGATGACCGGCCGGCTCAAGCCACTGAAGGCGGCCCGGCTGGACTCCGCGGTTTGACCATTCCTCAGCGGCCGGGGGGTTCCTTGGCCAGGTCAAGCGACAAGCCCAACGGCCCAGGTAGCCAGGTGAGGCCTTGTTGGTGGCGGTTGACGGATCACGGCCATCTTGGTCGGTTCTGGCAAAGGGGGTGGGGAGAGATTGGGGGGACCCCTGGCGCGGGCCAGGCCAGGGTGCAGCTCCTTGAGCTCTGGCCTCTGCTGCTCCCCCCGAATTCGTGACCTTAGGTGGGTTCCAGTTGGGGCCTGGAGGGCCGCCTCAGGCACCACTCACGTCGCCGGGCCTCACCTCACCACGCCTCACCTCGTGGGCCAAGCCGCGCGCAGGCTTCCGGGTTGCAGGTTGGCTCGTCCGCTGCCAATCCGCCGTTGGGCCACCATCTCAGCGGGCCCGACACCCCTCTCCACCTCACCTGCGCTGCGCGGTCCTGTTCTGGTGCCTGCTTGGCTTGTTCTGTCCCAAGCGTCAGCGGATGCCTCCCGACAGGCCCGCTGTCACCGCGCCCCCGCCGTCTCGTCGTCGTCGTTGTCGTCGCCGTTGTCGCCGTCCTTTGCTGCGGCCTTTGCTGGCCTTGGGAGCCGCCTGGCCAGTGGCGGCCAGGTCGCACAGCTGGGCCGCACTCCAGCCATGAGTCCAGGGTTCCGATTTGCAGCGCCGGCGCCCAATTGAGGCCATCAACACGCCATCGAGCGGGCCCCCCGCAGCGGCGTTGCAGCAGTCGCTCTCGTCCCGGCACGCGTTGCCAGGGGTCCTGATCAGTCTTTCCAGGGGCCTGTGTCTGCTTGTGCCTCCTGCTCGAGATTGAGTGGTGAGGCGGCCCTCGGCAGCACGACGACGACAATGGCCTCGTGTCTCCCTCCTACCGACGGCACATGCCTCGAGCAACAGCCCTAAGATAATCTTGCTCGCTCACCTCACCATCACGAGTTGCCGGGGTCCCCTCCGGTCATCGTGATAGGTGGATACGGTACTTCCACGCACATACATTAACCACTGCAGCTCCTGCAGCCCGGCCCCGATCGTCCAGACCAGACCCTGGCCGGTACCTCGTCACCTCTTTCGCCTCTTCATCCAATTTCCCCTCTGGGGCACTACCCGTACTGGCCTCTGTACCTTCCTCCGTTGACAGGAGACGGACCCTGTTCTTCCACGCCTCGCCTCTGATCGCCTCCCTCCTCTCCCACGCATAGCTTCTTTCCAACGTCACCCGAGCCGAATCGCGGAGACGGTTCCTCCTGTGCGACGACGCGCGACCCAATGGCCTGCGCATAACTCTCGTCATCCTTTGCCGTGGAGAGCTCTCTCCTGGGCCTGCCGAGCGTGTCTCATTGTAAGCTATCCCGACCGAGTCGCGCGCTGCTTGCCAACCTCCGCCCTCTCCGGACTCTTTGCGCAAAGCCTATCGCTGCTGTCGTGAAGCGACATTGTCTTGATTGCTGACCGTCGCGTGCGTACAGTTTTCGTTTTGATATACTGACTTCGACACCCACTTCACTGGCGCGCCCACTGTCCTTCGCTTATACCCACTCCCAGCCATCAGCCTCCGAAACGCGCCTCTGCAGGGCAAGCAAAGGAGGCCGGAAATCGAATACACCTGCGCAATTGGTTCACGGCATGACATACGCACATTACCACCATCGGCCCGCTGCGAGACACTGATTCGCCTTCCTTCTTTTCCTCGATCGACGACGCGGGCAAATTAGCGACGAATCTCTTGCTGGTCGGTGATGAGCAAGACCCCGAGTAGCTGAAACACGGCATTCATTGTCCTACTTATTATCGTCTGGAAACGAGCGGTACGTGAGTTCCCCGTGATGTAGTGTCCGCCGGATCAATCGCGGATCTCGGCCGGAGCAATGGACACCGAGAGTCGCAAGAGATTCATGCTGACCTTGCCTGTCAAGGCGACCATCACAGTGCACTTTGCAACAGTCGGGGGCGCATGCGAAACCTGCAAGCCGTAAGTTTGCCCATCCCTGCGTCGAGGGTCAACAGGCGTTCTGGTCTGAGTCGTCAGCCTGGGGCATGCATTGGCCTGCGTCAGCATTTGCTTTTTTGCAAGATGCTAACAACCTGCGGAAGGTCGACAGAAGCAATTGTTGACTACTGTAGATGCGAGCTCATCCAGTAGACCACGTCGTTGCTGTCATTTCTCAGCTGCAGGGCTCGCTGTAAGCAAGCCATAGAAGGTTGGTCCGGCCGACTGTCTTGCCCCGAAACCAGAGGGAGCAGGCCGCGCTCGACAAGCTCCAGAGGGCTTGTTGATGCCTGTCCATATCATCCGACGGCTGCGCCATAGCCATTAGCCGCACGTCACGCAGCCGACTTCGCACCCACAAGATGGCCGTCTGGGAAACCGACGATGAGTACACAACTGGCCTCGGGGCTGGTTCGCTGCCCACGCCTCAGAGCGGTACCCCGTTCAAGACCCCGTCCGGGGCCTCGAAGCAGTCGAGCCGTCACCGCTCAGTCACTCCGCCCGGCAGTGGCGCCTCTCCCACGCCAATGTCGACTGACAGAAGTGAGAAGCGATTGTCGAGGGACGTGACGACCGACGAAAGCATCAGCATTCTCGACCCGCGGAGATTTACGCCGACTTTGCATGCCAACCTCGTCTCCGAGATCTTGGCGCTGAGGCGGGACCAGGAGGAGAAGACAAAACAGATCGAGAGCCTCGAGTCTACCTTGCACACTGTGAGAGAGGAGCATGACCGGCTCCAGGTGAACCTGACAGACACGACCAAGGAAAGCCGCTCACTGCAACGCCAACTGTCCTTGCTGGAAGGGGGAACGTCGTCGGCGCTGGGCGAACTCGCACGAGAGCGCGACGACGCCGTTGAGTCGATTACCGAGGCCAAGAAGCGCCTCGACTCTGCGCAGCGCAAGATTCGAAGTCAAGAGGATGACTCTCAGCGGGTTCACGACCAGTGGGCACAGGAGAAGGAGGCATGGGAAAACGAGAAGCGCAAGTACGAGCGCCGAGTCCACATTGCCGAGAGCCGCCTGAAAGTGGTGCTCGACGAGGTTGCCGCATTCCAGGCCTCGCACATGAACGGCGGACACAATGGTGCGAGCCAGGCTCATGATAGCGACGCCGAGGAGAGCGGCAGGGAGAACGACGTCGGCAGCGTCAGGACGATGAGCCTGACGAACAGCATTCGGCATTCCCTCTTGAACACATCTGGCGCCGGACTGCTACAGAACGGCCACTCCTTGGCCGACGAACTGGACTTCGACGACGACACGGACATTGATGGCCGAGAAAGTGTCTTGTCAAATCACTCAAGCCCTGCGAGGCACCGCCGACCCTACAGCCGTGACGGCACGCACAGCAGGATGCACCGACGTAATCAGAGCAACGAGAGCCTGGTGCGGCCGGGCAGCGTGGCTCGTGCGAAGCCCTTCATTGTCGAGTCTTTGACAGAGGCATTGGAGCCCGAGGAGGAGGACGCTGCCGAGGACACAATCATGGAGCAAACGACGCGTACGGCTTCATATGTCGACACCGGGATCCAGTACTCACCGCCGCCGTCGCCGGCTCCCGAGGCGCCAACAGTCAAGCCAGCCACCCCTGAGCTCCCCGTCCGTGGGAAGACACCAGACGTTGACAGCCCATCGCGAGGAGACTCCGAAATTGAGGCGAATCAGAGGCGTAAGCGGGTGCACGCCAGCCGGCCGCTTATCATCGAACCGTCCAAAATGAACAGGATGGTTTCGGCGGCTGCTCAGACAATGGACGGCCCGCTGAGCCCGCCCAAGACTCCTCAATCGCCTTACGGCGAGCTGTCCCCTTACTCGGATGCCCCAGAAGCCGTCATCATGGTGTGCTCGTCAACGCAGACAGAAGAGCCGGCGCAGATGTCCCGAGGGCTCAGCGCAACCCGTCTCAGCTCGCCGCCTCCGCCACTGGCGATACCCAGCATCAACATCCAGCCCCCAACCAGCCGACCAACTACCCCTCGATCGCCTCGGCTTCCTCAGTACTTCAAGCACTTTGGTTGCCAAGTCAATCTGCCCGTCTCCAGCGACACGACCGATGCGTCTGTGCAGACAGAAGGCATCCAGACTGACAAGAGGCTGGCGTTGCTGCCGCCACACCTGCAGCCATCCCTCATCTCGTCACGACCAACATCGCCTAATGTATCGGTCGGCTTTGAGCAAGACAAGAACTTTACCCCGGCGCCCGGTGAGATTCCTGCGCGCAACCCTAGGAGATCAACTCATGGGCGAGACTCCCGCGAACCTCCCTCACCACTCTCCCGTGGCGATGAAGATGAGCTTCACGATGCCTACCCTGGCCACAACGATGATGGTCCGCTGGCGAACCACAAGGGCGCGCCGGTGAGACGGCCTCATCGGTTTAGCAGCCTGTTTGCTGGCTTCGATACGGCTAGCTCGGATGAGGCAGACGAGTTTGGCGACGCAGACCTCAGTGACTCTGAGTATCGTACCGCCTTGTCTGCGCCTAGACCCAAGTTTATCTCAGGCCGGCAGCCACGGCGGGGCTCGTTCGGAACGGTGACTACATCACCGGAACAGCCCACGACCAAACAATCTGGAGCTACCGCGAACCCGGTCAGCTCCGAGTTGTATAGCTCCTTCAACCTCCCAGGAAAGGAGAGCGACTCGAAGAAGCATGAGAAGAAGCTTAGTAGGACGTATGAAAAGGCCCCTGCTCCTCCGCCGCCTGCCCCCTCTAGCCGAGCCAGCGTCATGCGAAAGGCAGCAATGATTCAGAGCGGGATTGCCAGCCATCAGGGTCGCTCAAGAAGCCCTAGCCTTCCTGACGCGAAGAATCCTCCCTTCCCGATCCCGACGCGCGCGAGCTCGCGGCAGCCGCCGTTTAGTTCCAGCACGCCGAGTGATGGGCAGAGGAGTCCGACTCGCCGGGATTATTGGCATCGGAGAGGCAGCAGCCGCTCTTCGTACCAGACACACACTCTCAGAAAGGTACGCTCTGCAGCAGCCCTCCCGCGGAACCAGCGGCACCGCCGTCAGGGCAGCCGATCCCCCCCTCCGCTGTCGCCCTCCACCGAGGCTCCCGAAAGCCCAGGACTGCCTCCCCTACCGCGCAATGACATCACGACACCCCGGAACAAGGGCCGCCCCAACAACAGCTGGAAGAGGCATCGCCACGAGCTTTCGACCAACACAGACAATACCAACAACACTGAGCCGACCACGCAGACAACTGCCTCCCAAACGCCCGGCGTGGTCGATGCTATTGCGCAGACTATGGTTGGGGAGTGGATGCTCAAATATGTCCGGAGGCGAAAGTCTTTTGGCATGCCAGAGTCGACTGGCAAGGACGACTCCAGCAACGATCGCCACAAGAGGTGGGTGTGGCTGGCTCCGTACGAAAGGGCTATCCTCTGGAGCAGCAAACAACCATCCTCGGGCAGCGCCCTCATGGGCAAGACTGGACGCAAGTGTGAGTGGCTCGAACCATCGAATCCGACCGACCTCTCCTCATTACTGACACGAACAGTAACTATCCAATCTGTCCTCGACGTGAAAGATGACAACCCTGCGCCAAAGGTCATGCCAAACGTGTTCAATCGCTCGATCTTGATATTGACCCCACAGCGAGCTTTGAAGTTCACGGCAACCTCGGCAGAGCGGCACTACCTGTGGCTTACCGCGCTGTCGTTTCTGGCACATTCATCTCAGGCTGTGCCTGATATCCCGGCTCCGCAGCCGCAGGTGAAGCAGCATCCTCAAGCGCAGCAGCCACTACCAGAGTTTGAGATGCCGAGAACGAGGTTCAAGCGTGGTGGAATCAGAGACTCCATACGCCTTGCCAAGGGCAAAACGAACGTCGGGAGAATTGGCACCCCGAGCGTGCCCAGCATTCCTAGCGCGCCGTCGTCACGTATGGGCGACATGGCGAGCTTTCGACAGCCAGACCTCTCCCCCGTGGCGTCTGGCCACAGCCGGGAGGAGTCTCAAGATGCCGCGGAGCCACCCTTTATCCCCCGCTTCACTGAGAGGAGCAACGGAGCGGCGACTCACGGCCGAAAGCGCAGCAACACGGGGGGCCATGTGGCACCGCCCCTATCGTTCCGTGGCTTTTCGGGCCCAGCGGGCACCGGAGCTCATCACAACTCATCCGGCAGCACGGCCAACGCCAGTGTCGGAACGGCGGGCTCGTCAGACATTTACCAGTCGCAGGGTTCATCGAACACGACTTGGGGCATGAGCCACCCCGCATCACAACGCACATCCGAGGCATCCTCGCGCCCGGGGGGCAACTTCTTTGACGCCATTGGGACGGTTCGCATGGAGGCCTTCATCAGCCCCCTGGCATTTTCGCAGTTCAGCGACTACCCGGACGAGCAGGAGGAATTCCGTCAGTCCATGCGACGGCGAAGCAAGGAGATCCGGAGGCGAAACAGCCGCAGCCGCCACCGCGAGCAAAACGGCCATCGTGGCGGCCGCGGGGACCACTACAGTCGAGGGAGAACCATGGACGAGGACTACTTCAAGGATGATCCGTTCAAGGGCTTCTAGGAGGAGCGACCGAATACCGTTTGCTTGAGCATTTTTGCGTTGCATTATACACCAGTTATCAGCGGCCCGCAAAGCCAGACCTCACCACGACGGATACCCTTCTGTTCTTTCTTTGTACTTTTCGCGCCATCACGCTTTTGGGATGCTTCATGTGGCTTGCACGGCTGGATCTCGCCGGGCGTGAGCCCTGCGGACTGGTATATCTTGGGAACGGCGTTTTGAGGTGAAGCATTTCTCTACCGGGTTCTCCACTCGCCATGATGACGGTGGGAGGAGTTTCGAAAAACAACACTTTGACGTCTCGTGTGCCCAAGTGCACGTCTGTATTCAGAGCTTTTTGCAGGTCCGACGATCTCACTGGACTTTTGGTAGATAGGCACGTGTAGATGGCCGAAAAGCAATTAGGCATATCTGAACATGTTTGAAGGGGCATTCATGTGACGTGACTGTATCGTGATGTGGCCTGGCGGTTGTGTCTCTTGTTGTGTCTCTTGACGATAGCTAGGTGTTCAGCACGTACATTTTATGCTTCAATCATTACTGTAGAATGTATTATGTACTTTGTATTGTTTGCTGATGAGAAGGATCTCACGTGAGTGTAGTCCCTGGAGTGTGCTACGTCGATCGCCGAGCTCGATTCGACTTTCACGAATTGGCAAAGGAAGAAGATGGCGGCTTCGGCGGCAGGGCGTACCTCGCCGAGGTATCCCTTTGAGCGAGGTGGTAGTGTTGGGGTGGTGGTGTGTGACGCTGTGTCTGTCTGCCCCGCCGACACCCTCTAGCCATGGGGGAAAAAAAGTCGTCGTCCTAAACCTCACTCAGCTTTCCCTACCCCGCCATCTGCCGTCCATCCATCAATCCATCCATCCACCGCACCAAGCCAGCCTCCCAACCCTCACGCTCTCCATTCCGTACAAACAAACGTCCTCGAACCACGGCTCCTTGCCCTCCCGTACCCAAATCGAACTCCGGCCAGCTCCGACACACACACACACACACACCCATCGGCTGCATCCCGGGCCTTTCCTCCTCCTCTCCGTCACGGCCTCCGATCGACGACGTCCCTTTACACGCACTCACAACAAGAGAGGGGCAGGCCGGCTCGGACAGGTAGCAGGCATGGAGGCTGCCACCGCCGCTACCACCGCCGCTGCCGCAGCATCAGGCGAGACGCTGGAGCAGGCGCAGGCCCGGCACCGGCGGGAGCTCAAGGACCTGCAGGGCCGCATCACCAACAAGAAGAAGAACGCGACCAAGAAGACGCGCAAGGGCGTCAACGACGAGTGCGCCGAGATGGAGCGCCAGACGCGCGAGCGGCACGCCGCGGAGCTCGCTGCCCTTACCGCCGGCGTGACGGACGGCGCTGCAGAGGATGATGACGACGACAAGGATGACGCCGCGCAAGGGGGCCTCGAGGCCGCGGCGGGGAAGCTCAGCATAGGCGGCCCTACCACCGACGACGCGAACGACGACACAGCGACGATCAAGCCTCCACAGCCGCAGCAGCAGCAACAGCAGCAACAGCAGCAGCAAGAAGGCGGCAAGAAGCGCAACCGCCAAAAAGAACGCCTCGCCCGCCGCGCCGCCGAGCAGGAAGCCGCCTCCGCCGCCGCCGCCGCCGAAGCCTCCACCATGACGGACCGCCGCGCCCTCGAGGGCACCTACATGAAGAAGGCCTTTGCGGCCAACGACCTCGTCGAAAAGGACATTGAGCCCGACGGGCACTGCCTCTTCTCCGCCGTCGCGGACCAGCTGTCGCACAACGCCATCCCCGTCCTCGCCGCGTCCACCGCATCCACCACCGCCACCCCGGAGCCCGCGTACAAGACGGTGCGCAGGGCCGCCGCCGCGTTCATGGCCGAAAACGCAGACGACTTCGCGCCGTTCCTCGAGGAGGACCTGGATGCGTATGTGGCGAGGGTGCGCGACACGGCGGAGTGGGGCGGGCAGCTGGAGCTCACGGCGCTGGCGAGGCGGTATGGCGCTGAGATTCGCGTCATTCAGGATGGGCGGACGGAGCGCATCGGCGAGGAGGAGGGAAAGGCCACGGGAAAGACGCTCTGGTTGGCGTACTACCGCCACGGCTACGGCCTTGGCGAACACTACAACTCGCTGCGCAAGAAGACGACACCGTAAAGCCACCCGATCCCTGACATACCGCCACGCTGTTTCCATTTGGGGGCCATATTGATGCTTGACAAGTACTGCATAGCGACAACACGGAGCTTGAAGAGGCGTCATATATACTCATCAAGGGGCGAAACGCCCCCCACGGCATTTATTCAAATCACTTTTGGTGCATTGGGCATCATTCTATCATAGGTTCTGCCACCTCATTCTCTGGAGTCCTCGCGCCGCCTCACACACATCACCGGTGTCACCGTGTCCACACGGAGATGAAATCCATGACTGAGCCATCCTCAGCCGTACCCGCCCGATGTGTCCGCGTCGGCTTGATGATGCTGAGCCGATGCAGTTCGCCCTGGCAGGGCTTGGAGCTGGGCTTGTGGACCACGGTCCCGTCGGGGTTATACGAGACCTCCTCGCCGGGAGCTGACAGGAGAGCCTCGTACACCTCGGGGTTGAGACCCCACGGCGGGCCGGGCTCAGACAGAGGCTTACCCGTTGGGAATTCGAGGCAGACGAGCCGACCCTTGGGGTGGACGAGGTCGGCCATGCGCTTGGCCCAGCGAGGACGGGCTTCCGGGGGCAGGGCGCACAGGAACTGTGGGGTTGCTGGTTAGCCGGCACTCCAATGCAACGGCATGTTGAAGTACATGTAGCAGACGGGACGGGATCGACATGCAGCTGGACGACCGCCGAGATTAGACTTACAGTGTAGTCGTAAATGAGATCAAACGTGCCAGAGCCGTCTGTGCCAATGCCCTTGGACCAGCTCTCATCGAAGAAGTCACCGGCCAGCCACTTTATGTCGCCCTTTTCCAGGTCCTCCTCGACGGGCTTGTACAGCCCCTTGCTCTCGGCATCTTTCCTGTTCTCCTCGGCCATGCGCACGGCGTCGGGGCTGTAGTCGAGGCCCCAGACGTCGTAGCCAAAGGAGCTCAAGAGGAGCACATCGTGGCCGCGGCCGCAGCCAGGGACGAGTGCGGTGCGCCGGGGCACGCCCTGGACGAGGTTGCCGCGGGCGTCGCGTTCTTGGGCCGTGGGCACGAGGTCGGTGCGCTGGGCGAGGAGGTCAGCCAGGGCGAGCGAGGGACCGGCTCGGTCCCAGGGCGTAAAGGCCTGGCGGTAGAGCGAGTCCCACCGAGACGGATGGGAGGTGAAGGGCAGCGACGCAAAGCTCTCCTGGAGACGGGAGCGCTCGTCAGGGTTGATGGCCGAGGCCGAGCTGCTGGCGCTGCTCTGCGTGGAGGCGGCGGCCATGGCGACGAAGCAGGTGGTGCGGTGGAGGGGCGTCGCGGGGCAGTCCGGCTATCGTTGCCGTCGAGGTATCGGAGTGCAATTGAGAAGGAGGCCGAGGGGCGGGATAGCGATGTCTGGTCTAGGTCATGCAATCATGTACAGCGATGGGGCGATGAAGCGCCCATGGAGAGAAACAGGAACAGACAGGACAGGAGACGAGAGGACGAAGCAAGAGGGAAAGGGAAGCAGGAATCGGGAGCGGACGGGAGGGAGGCAGCGGCGGCGACGGTGGCGGGGGGATCGAAAGTTGTTGTGGGGTTGCCCTTTGCAGCTGCCCGTCCAGAATGGGGGAGTCGAAGCGCTGCTCGCGCGACCCGTCGCGCCGATGGAGCCATCCGTGTGGATGCCGTGCTAAGTTGATGGGCAAACGGGGATTGTCGCCGCGGTTGGCTGGATGTGGGGGTTGTGTCCACCACGACTTTGGCCAGGAAGACGTCACCAGCCGGCTTGTGGAGGGGAGCCCCCCCGGACTTCGGCGACGGCGGTGGCACGATTGGGCACTACAATCAGGGAAGGGTGGTCGGCCGTGTCGTTGGTGCGCGGAGGGCGAGTTGAAGCTATCGCCGGGCACTCGCGAATAGCTAGACGGACAGGAGGGCAGAGGAGCGAAATCGGCGTTTGTAAGTTGTAACGGTCGAGTCAAGCTGCAGCATGTGGTGAGACGGAGCACGTGCTCGTCGGCGGCGCCTGCCGAATCTCAATACGACCATCCAAGTAAGGTGCTACCCAAGATACTACTACTACGTACCTTCCTTACCACACCTTGCCGACGAAGTACCTCATGAGAATGAGGAAGGCACCACCGTCAGTCACTTACCGTATCTGATTCGATGCTCTGTCAAGTGCTTTGTGTACTTCGTACGGCAGACGAAAAGGTGCTTCATCAATGACCCACATTCACGCGGTTCGTCTGCCATCTCACCGAGACACCGCGCTGGACATTGGAACCATTGGAAGCGGAAATTCGGCAGCGTCCTCCTCCAGAGACGTTCGTTCTCTGTTCTACGAATGTTCAAGTCTGCGGCGGTATCGCTGATATATTAGACACTAGGTGAAAGATATGTTTGCAGCCGCGATGCGGGAGTTGATGGTCCCCATCGGGGCCCCCCTATCCTCGGAGCGCCTCTGTCGCCAGGATACCTCAAAACTCTAAAAGCTCTAGTCTCGTCATTGCCATCTATTCGCACGCCCATCCCATCCCATCCCATCCCATCCCATCACTCATTGAAGCATCTTGACCCTGAGAAAAGGACCCGTCATTAAAGCCCGTTCCGGTCCCTTACAGAGCCACGGCCGCGACCAGCATCGCCACAAGCGCACCGGCGCCACGGGCGGCGTTGGCCCCAGCGGTAACCACCGCAGGGATAGTCGTGTTTGCGGGCACCTTGGCCGGCGTCCAGGTCGGGGTGTCGTCGGCCGTCTGCTGCCCGGCGGCGCCGTTGTCCCAGGTCGGGGTGGCTGTCTGTGCCGCCTCCGTCTCCTGCCCAGCGCCATCGGCGCACTCGGTGCAAGTGATGGTGGTAGTCGCGGCTGGAATCGTCCAAGGCGTCGCGGGGGGACAGCCCGTGCAGTCGGTGCTCGTATGGGTGACCGAAACAGTCGTGGTGGTGGTCGTCGCGGTGGTATTCACGTTCCAGGCGGGGAAGGCGGTCGTCTCGGTGGAAGTGGTCGTGGTGACGGTGGTAGCGGCAGCGGCAGTCTCAGTCTCAGTCGTGGCCGGGATCGGGGTCGTAGTGCGAGGTGCGAACGTGCTGGAGTCGATCGTGGGCGTCCAGGGCGCGGCTGTATTAGTCGGGATGGGAATGGCAGGCACCGCGGGCACGATGAGCTCGTCAGAGTGGCAATAGTGCCAGAGGGATGTCTGGAACTTGAATTCGTGCTTCCAGCCGCATGCCTTCCGCGCACAGTTTGCCGTCTTGAAGGCGAGTTTGAACTCGCCCCACGTGGTGCACATGCAGGCCTTGTCGGACACGTCCTTGCAGCCCATGTCTATCACAGCGTCACTCATGCAGGGCAACTATATGAAGGCAAGGGGGCTCGTGTGTCAGAAACCATGACGCTCGATGGCACGGGGGGGACGTTGGGTCTGCCCTATCTCGGGAGGCCGGTGCAAAGACGTGGACTTACACCACACTCAAGGCCCCAAATGGCCTTGAAATCCGCAACAGTGGCGGTGGAAACGGCCGCGAGGGCGATGAAGGCCAAGGCAGACTTCATTGTGTGCAGAGACAGAGACGGACAGCGTGGGTAGTAGTGAATGACCCAGAGATTGATGAGGCCGAGTACGGTTTCAGCGGAAGTATGGCAGCGAGGGCAGGGCTTTGGCGGTCCAAAGACTGACTGACTGGCTGGCTGGCTGGCTGTAGGGCTTGAGAGCAAATTTGCATCGATGGCACCTGGCACCCGCTCAAGACGCGGGCTCGCCATATATACGAAGCAGAGCAAGCAGCCCCAGTCGCATTCTACGGGCACGCGATGCACGCGACCGGCCGTTGCCCATGCTGCAAGGACGAGAAGTTGGCCGCGGAAAGGGGCTCCTATGCTGCGCCGCAGCTTGCGTTCCACACGAGCTTCTAGAAAAAGCGTACGATGCACGAATCAGCACGGGGCCACCAATTTTGTCGTCTCTACCGGCCCCCCTGGGCACGGCTCGCGGCTCGCGACGACGAGCCTTCCGAGCCGGCGCAGAGGCCGAGTTTATGGATGGGCGTCCGCGTCAAGGAGGGCCCGGACATGAGGTGGTAAGCCCATGTGCCATTGTACTCATTTGCGGGAGAAAAGTAAGCGGAATGAGCGACTGCGCCAGTGTGACGGCGATGCCGGCGGGTGCTTTCTCGATGACTCTGGGTGCAACAAGTGATCCTGCCAACTCTCTCGCCGGCCGAGTGGTAGACCGTGGCCGAGCGACGAAGAAGAGATCTTGACATGTCTGGCTCGCAAAGGCGCATTGTGCCTCGTGACCGCCACGAAGATGATTTCAGCGCCTTCTCAATGCATTTGTGTCGCATCATGCCACCGTACGGCTCGACATCCCGTTCGCTCGCTCGTTTGACGTCAAGTATCGCGTCCCCCGGTCTGGTGTTGCGGGGGGGATCCATCTAGTATGTACGACGAAGTGGGCGAAGCTTCTCCGTGGGGCCCCTAGATGGATTGCAACATGGCATTCTCTAGATGAGCGGGCAAGCTCACGCGACCACATGAGCAGGCTCGTGGAGGGCCTCAACTGCGTGCGCGAGTCTGGGCATTGATATTGCCCCGTCAAAGCATTGGGGCTGTGGACGAGGGGATCCAACGTCGACTTGCACACCGACATTCTGGCATGGGCTCGGCTCGGTGAAAGCGCGACTGCATTAAAAGTACTAATATACGGGACTCCAGCTTTCTCCAGCGATGGCAGCTGCGCATCTAAAATTGCTAGTCTATGGGGAGGGGAGGACGTCGTTCGATTGCTGTAGATACCTACCGGTACCTCGTATACGTGCGAGGTGCCGTCGGCAATTCCCGAATCCCGAGTATCTTCGCTTCATGCTTCCAGCCAAAAGCGGGGAAAAAGAGATCATGGTTGATTACGACGATTTATGCTGGCAATGCTGCTGGGCGGCAGCGCTACGACTAAGTCCCGTCGCAAGACTGCTGGGCCACCCGAGCCGGCGTAACCGTCATCCAAGTCCCGTCGTTGTACGAAGCATGGAGTACAAAATACGTATCGCGCCGTTCGTCCCCCGGAGGTGGGTTCGGGATCCGGATTCCGGGCCTAGCCCCCGCCCGCCCCCGGCTGCTGCACCCCAGAGCCCAGGGGCATTGGACCCCACTGCCCAGGGCAGCTCTGCCGGCCACGGCGCGGCGCCAGACGGCGGCGGGCAGTGGGTTGTGCCTCGGCTCGGGCGGCGCAAGCTCAATGTCATCAGCCGACCGACCGACGTCGCAGCGCCTACAGCTCCCCTTCTCATCGACTGCCACCGACCTGCCTGCCTCGCAACACCGGTGTCAATTTCGATATCCCATCTTTTTTGCTCCCCTCGGCATTCCCCAGACACGCAGCCCATCATGGATGTCGAAAGTCTTTTCGGAGTCAAGGCAAGCACCTCCTGCCCTTCAACCCCAGCTCTCATTCTAACCCGACCTCCATCCAGGGCAAGGTAGTCCTCATCACCGGAGGCAAGTAATACCCGTGATCGATGATCCAACCCCCGTGCATGACACCGGCGGCTCCGCCCCATCATCATCATCATCATCTCATCCCAACTAACACTGCGGCAACGTGCACAGGCGCCAAAGGCATCGGGCGCATGATCGCCGAGGGGTACGTCGCCAACGGCGCCAAGGTCTACCTCACGGGCCGCGACGCCGGCGCGTGCTCCGCCGCCGCCGCCGAGCTCGCGCCCCTCGCCTCCCGCAGCGGCGGCTCCGTCCACGCCCTGCCCGCCAACCTGCAGGAGCTGTCCGAGTGCGAGCGCCTCGTCGCGGACCTGACGGCGCGCGAGCCCGGCGGCCTGCACGTGCTGCTCAACAACGCGGGCGCGTCCTGGGGCGACAGCCTCGACGCCTACCCGGACCACGCCTGGACAAAGGTCCTCACGCTCAACCTGCACCGCGTCTTCACCCTCACCCAGCTGTGCCTGCCGCTGCTCGAGCGCGCCGCCCGCCCCGGCGACCCCGCGCGCGTCATCCACATCGGCAGCATCGACGGCATCCGCGCCCCCACCGTCAGCAACTTTGCCTACTCGGCCAGCAAGGCCGGCCTGCACCACCTGTCGCGCGCCCTCGCCAGGGAGCTGGGCCAGCGCGACATCACCAGCAACGTCCTCGCCTGCGGGCCCTTCCCCACCAAGATGATGAAGGCCACCCTCGACTCCTTTGGCGACCTCATCAAGAGCGAGGTGCCCCTGCGCCGCATCGGCAGCCCCGAGGACGTCGCCGGCTCGTGCATCTACCTCTCGAGCCGGGCCGGGTGAGTTGACACCCAAGTCAGGACATGCCAGCTTCTAACCATGTTTGTTCTGATATAGTGCGTACTGCAACGGGGCGCTGATACGAGTCGATGGCGGTGCGTCGCTCGCGTCCAAGATCTAGACGGACAGAGACGGCGCATGGCGAGCTGGGAAGATGAGGATGGCCTCCCTCCGAGGTCGGAAATCATGTACATTTCCGCGAAAAGGCAAATGACAGCGTAGTCTTGTGAATCGTGGTCAACAAATGGGGGCCATTTGAAGGGCAGGCGACACGTCGTTGTCATCGGCCCCTTACACTCCGCCAACACAAGCTTCATGACACAGACACAGACACGTGCGAATGAAGGCAGCTCAAAGCAGAAAGGAAGTCGTTCTATATGAGGTAGATGACTCCACGAAGGAGACCCAATTCATGCTGGAAAACATTGCGCGACGTTATTTCGACCGCTTGCAAGCCTAGTAGTGGTATCTCCAACCTCACGTCTCCAGATGCCCCCATCACATCCCGCCAAGAGCCTTCCATAACCAGATGGAAAGCAATGCCAAATGTTCTCTCGCTCGCCCATTCCCTCATGCAAACGCCGCAACAACCCCCGCCGCAAGCACCACCACCACCCCCAAAGACGAAGACCTTCCCCAAGCATCCAGCCTCCCCCCCGCCGCCGAGTCCTTCGTCCCCGTCGCCGCGCCCGCACTCGTCGTCTTATCCGCCGTCGCCCCCGTCGCGTCCGTCTTGCTCGCTACCGTACCGCTGGCGCTACCGCTGATGGCGCTGCTCGAAGACGCACCCGAATCGCCTCCGTCGTCCGCCTTCTTGCACTCGGTCGGCACCGGCGGCACCACGCCGGCGTCGCACTCGGGCTTGGGCTTGATGGTCGACTTGCCCACCGCCGAGAAGCCCTGGGGCTCCCTCTTGAGGGCGCAGTCCAGCAGCCAGCACTCGTGGCACTTGCTGTGGTACAGCGCCGTGAGGCACGCGTCGTTGAGCCCGCACAGGGAGCTGCATGCCTGCGCGTCGCTGACGATGGTGTCGCTGACGATGCCTTTTGTTGCGGCGTGTGTGAGGCTGCTGAAGAGGGTTGTAGCCACCGCGGCGGCGGTGGTGAGCGCGAGGGAGGGGGCGCGCATGGTGGGCGAGTAACTACCAGTGGCTCGAAAGCGCGCGCGTGTAAAATGAGCCTCAGTGTCGCCTGGTGTGTGGGAAGAGAGAGAGAGATTCGTGATGTGATGGAAGCTATCGTGCAGTACCGTGCCAACTCTTCTTCTCTCACGATGTGCCGCCACGACGCAGGGGGCAGTTCATGGCATATTTAATGCCCGCGTTTTGTTCCCGCATAGGCGCCTTCCTCTCGGGGCAATTTGCGCCGTCTTATTTCTCGCCCTGTGAGATTGCAAAACGAGATCTAGGCTTAGGCTAGCCCTGCAGTCTTGCAGGGAGCTCCGACACCCAAAGTGTTGTCTATCTCTCGCGAAGAACCCCCCCTGGATCGATCTACGGTTAGTTAGTAGTAGTTGGCATTTAGCCGCCAAATCACAAGCGACAGTCTATCGAATGCGTGAGACGCGAAGGAGCCAGAACCCTTGTAGCGGGCCAAACAACCTTAAGATTCTGGGAGCACATGATCCTCACTCGCACAGTTGCGCTGCACACGTTGCTGATCACGGCTCATCCGCTCGAGTGCGCAATCGCCCGTCACGGCCGGCACCTGACGATCCATGCCCGGGCACCTTTTGGAACGGTGTGAAGAGTGTTGTCCATTGCTATATGCCACTTGCCTCTTCACCCGTCGACCGCCGCCTCCGCAATGCGATGTACAGGTAAGAAAAGAAAAGAAAAGTCGAGGAAGACCAAAGGACCAACGATGCCAACCCAAGGTATATCATGCCTGCTGCGCCGTAAAAGCAATTGCAAAAGCCGCCAATTTCGTATGCCACTCTAGACCATGCCGCCCCCCAAAGCCAGCCAGGACCCGAGCCCTCTTTAAAGTCTTTGTTCTGGAAAGGAAAAGGTCTTCCAACGAGCAGTGTATTACGACAGGCTCTCGAAGGTAAAGGACGTGCGAGGTGCGCGCCGTGTCGCTCGACCAAATGCGAGCGGGCGCATATTAAGTCGCACGGTGGTGAGGGCCGCCCTGTCGGTCGTCGCAGTCGAGCCCTTCACAGCCCGCAGCTCTCAAAGTCGCGGACCATGACGGCGACCTGCGCGCGCTTGGCGGCCTCGGCGACGAGGGTAAAGTCCTTGAGGAAGGCATCGGTAGACGGCGACGTGGGTAGCTGGGCGGGAGGCTGCGGCACCGCGGGCTGCGCGATGGCGTTGGCAGGGGACGACTGTTGTGTGGAGGATAGAGGGCCCGATGAAACGGCGCGCGAGCCCATGGGCGAGGTGATCGGGGCGTTCATGTTGTGCGACGGGTACTCCTGCACGATGGCGGCGAAGGCGTTGACGATGCGCTGCGTCTCCCGACGGTGGGGGAGGCGATGCAAGTTAAAGGCACCGTTGCCTGGCTCTAATAACAAAGCCGGCAAGTATCGTGAGCGAGCACAAAGAGGCTGCTGTCAAAGAAAGGCGCGCTCGTGGACTGGGCAACGCTCAAAGAGTCAATGACGAAACGTTCATGTGCGTGCGAGGCTTGTGACGATGCAGCCGAGACTAAATGGGCGAGGCAGGCGTCGGCGGGGTGCAGGACGGCGTCCGGCTTCGGCAAACGGCGAAGTGTGGAGAAGCCGAGATGGGACCGCGACTGCTGTAAGAACAAAAAAGGGACAGACAGCCCCAGTGATGGAGATGCCGTCAAAGGTCTTGAGGATTGCCGGGCTGCTGTATCGGTCGACGGGTGCGACTCGAGACGTGAGACGTGGGCGGGCGGGAAAAAAGAGTGGCCCCTTCTGACCGGGCGGCGAATCCGTGATGCCTCGGCCTGCCGACACCGAGCGACCCGTTCGGGGCTCCGTACTCTGACGTAGGGTCGGATGGCGTGCGCTGACAGGGCAGGATTCGACCACGCGAGTCCCCAGAGTCCAGACGACGACCGACAGGGACGAGGTCTGTGCCGAGATAGCGATGGTCTCGGCGACGATAAGCAGCGGCGGATTGCGGCGACGAAGGGGTTGCCGCTCGGGGACTCGAGTTGAAACGCCGCGGGTGCGCAAATGGGCGAACGCCGGCTGCAGGCTCGTCGGGAGTGGAGGATGGACGTCGTGCGAGTTCTTTGCAAGAACTCGTTTGTTGGGCAGGAAAGTGACGAGCAAGCTGTCGACGATGCCGTTTGCTGGGGGGATACACGGGCGCGGATACGAGACGACTGAGGGATGTGGAGGAGGAGAGAGGAGAAAGGGCAAGGCAGAGGATAGGCGATGAGGAGAAGTGCGGGTGGTGAGACAATCATTCGATGCGCGCGGGCATAGGAGAGAATCACACGGACTGGAAGAGTGTGAGTGTGTGTCTCTCCCAGCACCAGAACCACCCAAGGCTTCCACGGGCCTATCCAGTCCGTCCGTCAATGCCGCCCATCCCATCCCATCCATCCATCCATCCATCCGCCCAGCACATCCGGCGGGCGCCCATTTGCCCGCATCAGCGCCGCAAACAGCGGGTTCGTGGAGGCAGCTATTGTCGCTAGGCTGCCGCCAAAACGCCGAGCCAGTGGCAGCCCGGGGCAGCCCAGGTGCGGGCAGCAGGCGGCCATTGCTCCCGCGCCGTCTGCGAGCCACAACCTAATGCCCAGAAAAAGGGCCTGGAGTCCCACGCTCGCAACTGCCCAGAAATTAGAATGCGCCGTCTTCCCCAGCGGGGTTCGTTGCGCCTGCCTTGCCTGTCCCGCCTTGGTAGTAGTGGTACCGCACTCTTGCAGGCCTGGGCGGGCGGCGGCAAGTCCAGATCCGGCGGGGCCCTGCCAAGAGGCCTAGCGAGGCAGGACGGCGTCATCGTCTGGGCCTGTGAGGAAGGCACGAGCAGGGATTTCCTTCCACTGAGGAATCATCACTGGTACAACCGTCCCTGGGGAACGGGGCCCGGCGTGCGGATTGGTCCAAAATGCCCTCAGGTCTCAGGTCCCTGCGGTGCTCAGGGCACTGGACGAGCAGTCGGGGGCAGGATTGGCAGACGCGCTGGGCAGGAGCTGCGGCAGATCGCATCTCTGATGTCCCTCCCCGACGGCAGGATCGATGCGCATCTTGGGCCGCCCTCTCAGGTGCTCCTGTCTTGCCTGTGCAGCAGGGCGAACCAAGGGAAGGCGACTCCTTCCGCGAGGCTAATGACACCATGGAATCGTCGGACCTGCCTCGGAGAGCATGGGAAGCGAGACGCGCTCATGCGCCGAGTCAGTGATGAGCGCCCGTCGTGCCACCTTGACCCTGGCCTCCCTGCACCGTCCCCACGATGCCATGGGGATTTTCGCAGGTTGGGCTTGGCCGTTGTGCTCGTGTGCCACCGCTGCGGGCGATCCACGGACGGAAAACCGCAGGCCAGGTATTGTTCCTGGCTGCCTGGCGAGTCTCGAAGACACGGCACAGGCAAGCCACAGAGGCGTCTTCTCTGCCGCCGTGACATCGTTGGTCTCGCAGCGACGCCATGCTGCACCTATTTACGGTGCTGCTTGCGCGGTGGCTTGCGGTGCCTGCACGTCTGCCAGGGCGGCGCGGCATCTGCAACCCAGCCTAAAAGCACTTTCGAGTTTCATACACTACAAGGAACGTATCGTACGTCTCTGCTGTAGGTAGGCTTCGTATCGTCCGGAGGGACGCCGGAGCAATGCCCCGGCTTGTCAACTATTCTGGCTGCTATCACTGCTGATGCAACAAGACGAGACGGTCCCGTCTCTCGTCAGAGCAATACGGGACAACTCGGAAGGCAAGGCTGCCCACTGGCGGCTCCACTGCCAATTTTCGGTGGACCACCGGGAATTCGCCCGGCTTTGGAGTCGCAGAGTCGCGCGAGGCCCATTTGGACCCTGATTTTCTCCCACGGTTCGTCGACGGCTTCCTTTGCACCCAGACAAGACTGGGGCGGCCCGTCCGTGACTTACCGCCTTTTGCGCGCTGGGGATGCGTGGTTAAAATTTGTCGATGGAGTCGGATTTACGAGGACATGACTCTGATTTCCGTGCTGCTGGAGCCGGTGTTTCGTGGTGGGTTTCTCTTTGTCGTCTACATTTTACGGCCCGGACGAAGGTGATTGGTGAATGACCCGTAGCGTCCCAGGTCCTCAGGCCGTCGTGGCCTGCATCAGGTTGCATGCTCCTTCCTTGGCTGCAGCGCAACCGGGATACAGCGCGCAGTCTCCCAAGCCACGGTGACATGATGCCGTCTGCGTTCGTAGGAACGGTAGCACAACCGCCTTCTTGCCCGCAGGCTGCCCAACAATGCCTCGAGAGCAGACGGCATCCGCGGCACGTAACGTGCCAGACCTTCTATCGCGAGGCGTTCAAGGTTCACCTGGTTGAAGTCAAAGGACCGCGACGGCTTACGCTGAGCCCGGCCTGCAAGCGGCGGCAGCCTCCGCCTGAGTGAGGGAAGCATTGCCGTTTTGGGAAAGCATGAAAAGGAGTGAGATGCAATCTGTACGGTGACTGTTCTGCACTAACACTGTACACCAGCACTGTACGGCGCGGGAGCTCCTGGCCGCCCGTCCGGCCCGTGATTCTGCCGGAGGACCCTCTTCGGCCTGGCCGCCCCCGGACGGACGCAGGGGCGCCCTGGACCCGCACCTGCAAAAAAGTTGCCCAACGTCGGACGGGCTGCGCGCTCACCAGCCGCCCGCGCGCCTCGTCGGCCCCTCCAGCCCGCACCGCGACTCCATCCCGCCAGCAGCAAGCTCCGGCCGCCGTCCTCACATCGCGGAGCTTCCCAGGCGAAAGATGGCCGCTGCTGCTCCGGCTGCTTCCACGACCCCGGCCTCGGCCACGGTTCCTCCGCCTCATGATGATGCAGCACCAGCACCAGCAGCTGCAGCCGCGGCGCCCCCGACCTCGGCCCCCGAGCAGCGCGCCGGCGGCCTGTTTGCCGTCCCAGGTCCCGTCCGCCAGCTCTTCAAGCTCTTCCCCTTGTGCGTCTACCCCGCCGAGTCGCTGCCGGCCCGGGCACCAGCACAGGTTCGCAAGCGGCCGCGGTTGTACGTCTTTCTCGAGGACAAGCCCACCCTCAGGGGCGACATCAGCTTCAACCCGACGTGTCTGAAATGGCAGGCAAGTCCACGCCCGCCACAGCTCCCTCGAAAACGACCTGGAAGCTAACCGCAAGGCTCATCATGTACAGGCATTCCTACGCATCGCCGGCGTCGACGTCGAAATCGTGCCGTCCAACAACCATGCTTCTCCCTCCGGGGCGTTGCCGTTTCTCCTGCCTGCCTCGTCGGACCCGAGACCCGATGTGCCCTTGACTGGCAGCAAGATTGAGCGCTATGCCTTGGATCGCTCCCAATACGCCATCCCCGACGTTTCGTCATCTCAATTCGACGCATGGCTCTCCATCTTGTCTCAGAAGATTCGGCCAGCTTGGGTAGGTTCTCGAACCCGCCCGCGTTCAGGAAGCCTTTGACTAACTGGCATAGCTTTTTTCCATCTATGTTGAGCCGAGAAACCATCACTTGCTGGCACGCTGGTACCTCCCATCCAACCCCATTCTTCGCGCGTCGACCACGCACACGCTCCGCGCCGCGGCTGTGTCCGAGATTCTCAAGACGACGCGCCGGCCACACATCGACCCGAAGCAGCTCTTCGCCAACGCCAGAGCGGCCTTTAAAGCGCTGTCGCGGCTGCTCGGCGATGACGACTGGTTCTTCGGCTCCGAGACGCCGGGCCTGTTTGACGCCGAGGTGTTTGCCTACACGCAGCCCATCATAGACCTTGCCTGGCTGTGGAAGGATCAAAGGCTGACCGAATGCATGAACTGTATCCTGGAGGAAAACATCTTTCGCCACAGGTTCAGGTTGTATGAATGGTGCTGGGGAGAGGTCCCAGAGAGCTGCGCGACTGTCTGACGGCGCCTGGGGAGAAACGGTTCGAGTGCAAGCATAGGTTGCTTGTATGGTGCTGGGCAGGTCTCGGTGAGCATTGAGTATCCTGGATGAGGGCCTTGTATCATAGAATTGTACGATACCTCGACATGGCAAGAACGAATATACCCCTCATGACAAAGTAGGCCATCCACACTGGGAGAGGCTTCGTCAAAGGCGTTTTAGACATCTCGCAGTACGTTGAGCGGGGCGACAAGGTGTTGCTTCGTCGGGTTGGATGAGACCTTGCCTCGACAAAACACGAGGGAATGCACCATGAGGACAAGCAGCCCATTCGTATAGGAATACATTGCTTGTATTGCCTTCCGGAGAATTCGCCAAGAGTGTCCCTATTTGCAAAGGTTCAAACTGTCAGTTGCGCAGGCGGGGCCCTTCAACCAGCATGACTACCATTTCTGTTACATCCTGTGCCCGGCAACGATAGCAATACGTAGAAGCACAAAGGACCTACTTGAGACGGCAAAACGAAGATGTCTGCTAGCTTTACGGCAGACCAACGCCGTGCCAACTCCCTACGGTAAAAACTAGGTACCCTTGGTTGGCCGCCTGTCTGTGGCCGCAAACTGTAGGCGACCCCAAACTGTAGGCGACCTGAGCAACTACTCATTCGTAAGGTAGCTTTGCAAGTTGGAATGCCCTACTTCTTCCAGCGGCCGCCGTGTGGGCAGCTCCAGAGGTGCGTGGAGCGGTGCTCTGTTCACGCCGCGGAGCTGATTCACTGCACAGCAAACGGAATATCTAGTAAAGCGGAACTTCCTGCCACCTAGGTTCCTTTGCATTCATTCTTTCTCCCACACTACTCAATCTAATCTTTGATTTCTCGTCCTTCCTCTCTGTTCTCTCCCCTCACGCTTCCTCTGCAGGCAAAGTTCCACCGAGATCGTGAGCCCGCCGACTGAGCTGCAGCAACCTCCTCTTCCCTCGCGCAAATGACGCCTCCAGAATCCGCCACACAAAAATGACGTCGAGACGCGTTCGTCGGCGTCGAGTCGTCAACGAGGCTGACTGGCCCACGGAGGCCCTACGGCCGCAGGCCACGTTTCTTGCCAACCTGCCTGCGGAAATCATCGACAATGTCGCCCCGTTCGTTTACTCGGAGCGCGACCTTGCCGCTTTGGCCGTCACAAGTCGTCGAATGCACCAGATCCTGAACCGTCGCCTCTATCAAATGAACGATGGAAATTCCCCTGAGATTTGGCGGGAACACACTCGGAAAATTCTCAACGACAAAGCGGTATACGACTCTTTGGACGAAATCGTGGAGCTTGAGAGTCAACTCTACGATGGTCATGCCTTGCTTTGGGCCGTTCGAGAAAACAGACCAGAGACTCTTATGGCGATGCAAGCCATGGGAATCAAAACCGACAGATTTGGCGCCCTCCAGAGCGCTGCGAGGTCCGGCTTGATGGCCGTCGTTAAAGTGCTCCTGAAGGATCCAACCTGTCGCATCAACTCCCAGGACTTTTATTTTGACCTGAAAGATGCTAGGCTCTTCCCGTGGCCTATTTCAGCCCTGCACGCCGCTGCCTCATCACATAGAGTTGCGATCGTTAGGCTGCTTCTCGATAGGGGAGCCGAAGTGAACTCTGTCGCTCAGCACTATCTTCACGGCACTCCCCTACACATAGCCACAGAGGAGAACAATGCGTACATGGTGAGCTTTCTTCTGGGCCGCGGGGCGGATCCGACTATCAAAAACGCCTCTGGACAGACAGCACTCCACACCGCGGCGAAGCGCAACTATCATTCCATCATGCAGTTGCTGCTCGGACATGGTGCCAGTCTTGGCCTTGTTGATAATGACGACCGCACAGCGCTTGACCTGGCAATCGCATCGGGCGCGGGAGACTGCGTCAAAGTCCTTCTCAGGCACGGAGCTCTGGAACGAGGCCAGTCCCAGGGCGCGTTCTTTGACGCCTTGGACCGCGGCCGGTTCAGAGTCGCGGAAGCTATCTTTCAACACTTCCCCGGCATCCAATTTGATCGTGTGGATGAACAGGGTAACGGCCTTTATGCCCTCATTGTCGCCGTGACGGGTGACACAACAGGCATGTATGCCCTTCGAAGCCTCCTCGGTACCCTTCTGAAGAAGGGCGCGGAAATTGATGCAGAGGACACTTACGGGCGTACGGCTCTGCATCACGCCTGCATGCTGCGCCGCGGCGTGCCTGCTACCTTCCTGGTCAGGAAGGGTGCCGATCTCATGACGCCGGACAGGGACGGCAAAACGCCGCTCAGTATCGCCATGGAGTATCACTATGGTGAGATCTTCAACACGAGCGCCATATTTGTATCACAACAACTAACCTAGAAATGCAGACCAAGGATCCTGGCACCCCGATATGTCCCTCAGGAGTCTATTCGAATTTGACTAGTCGTTCGAAGCACTCCGCCGTTCGGACGTCATTAGGTTATGACAAGAACGGTTCTAGGCCCTGAAGCGGAAGAGTCGTCGGTCAGGCTTATCAGCTCGTGGAAGGAAATGGGGTTCCAGAACCGGCTGTGGTCACAGATGCCTTCCTCTCTGCTGTGAATAGGGAAAACATATGAGGATCGAGGGACATGGTTAGAAGGCTGAGATGACCATTCGACTGCGATTTCAATGCCGTAGTGCAGGTCGCTTTCAAAGCAAATTAGATTTCATAAACCTTCATGGCCACTATCCGCAAGGTGCATTGCGATTTCAAGGAGCGTGATAGTGCTGCCACTACTGAGACTTCCCTCGGTTAGACAACCTAGGGGTGGCATTGCTATCGTTGCTTTCGTTGCTGTCAGGTATCGCAGGGATGAGAGACGTGATTGCTCCGGCGCGGCCAACCGCAGACGAGACTGTGGTGACGAGAACAGGTACAATAAAGACAGCAAGATGGGCATCAAAGACGCTCTCAACACCGAGACACTCATCCGTCAGGAATCGTCGTCCGGCCCTACGTGGCGGCCACGACAAGCAAACGCTGCAGCTGATGGCTGACTGCAAGACTCTTCTACCAAACACTCATGGACCATAGCTGTTTCATCCAATGTATTCCGTTTCCTGGTGTCCTATTCGCCAGTACGGCCGGCTCGCCTAACTCACTGTTCAGCCGCCACCTGGCAGCGCCGTCGACCTCGCAGCTGCGCGCCTGTTCGCGACCCTATATAAACCGTCTACCACCACACGCCAACCTGGTCACTCTCTTCCTCCTTCACAACCTCTCGCAACCTCTCGAGGGCTTGCAACGCGAGTTTACCCTGCTGCACAGCCCGCCCGCCCCGACCGCTCGAGAGACTCGAAGGTTGTCATCAACACCCCTTGCCCCCCCTTCACATACCGTCTTCATCATCGCGACGCGCCTCGTCTCGAAGGCTTCATTCATTCCTTCATCCACTCACTCGCCCCGACGACAATTTGACTCACTTTCGTCATGGCCCTCCTGCTTAAGCTCCCGGCGGAGCTCTTTGAGATGGTGGCGAAGCTCCTGGACTCTGACGACTACGCGAGCCTCGCCAAGACGAGCCGCGCCCTGAACAACGCCTTCAACCCACGGCTGTACCACGAAAACGACCGCCGTCTGCGAGACGCCCAGGACGCAATCTACGGCGTCCATGACCCTGCCGGCGACGAGAACGTTTCCGTCAACTATACCAGGGCCCAGAACGGCCACGCCCTGTGCTGGGCCGCGGCCAACGGCCGCTATGAAACCTTTGTGAGGGCGGCCGCCCTGGGTGTCGACGTCTTCCGCGCGGGCTTTCTGCAGCGCGCCGCCGCGCACGGGCAGACGGACATCGTCACCAGCCTCCTCGAGGGAAAGCCCTCCCTCGTCAACGAGCAGGCCGACTTCTTCTCGCACCCTTCGTATCATGGGTTCAGCACCGCCCTGCACGCCGCCGCCGCGCGGAAGCACATCTGCGTCGTGTTCGCGCTCGTGAGCAGAGGGGCCGACGTCAATGCCGTGGCTGCGGACCCGTGCTTCCTCGACTCGCCTCTGCACAGGGCCGTTGCGCATGGCGGCGATGCCCATATCGTGAACCTGCTGCTCGTTCGTGGGGCGAATCCCGCCGCCGTCAACGCCATGGGCCGCACGCCGCTTCACCGGGCCGTCGCCAACTGCGACATAACCATCGCGCTCGATCTGCTCAACCACGGCGCCCGGGTCGACGTGCCCGACCGAAGGGGCATGACACCCCTGAGCGAGGCCCTCCTGTACGACTCGGACTACTTCATCGCCGCCCTCATCGACAGACAAATCCCGCTCGCCACGCCCCGGCCCGTGCTCTTCGAGGCGCTCCTCCGCGGCAGCGCGCGCTGCGCCCTGGTCATCCTGCAGAGCTTCCCCCTCATCCCGCTCCAGTACGAGCCGACCCCGACGTTCAAGGTACATGCCCTCCACCTCGCCGCCGCGTGCGTGTGCTACTCGGAGCCTAGCTACGACGTCACCTGCGCGGCGGTCTCCATCATGCTAGACCGAGGCGTATCTATTGACATCAGGGACCCCCAGGCACGCACCGCGCTGCACCACGCCGTGTCGCAGCGAAACCCCCGCCTGGTACGAATGCTCATCGACAGGGGCGCCAGCCTGATCAGCAGATCCTCGGCCCAGTGGGTTCCCATCGCCATGTTGGCTCGATACTACCACGGTAAGTCTGCTCTCTCTCACAATACGTGGTCGTGAAGGCCAGCAAAAAGCAGCTTGACAAGATGTGTGAAGTTAAACTAACCAACGCCGTTGATCTAGAGCAAGGAGGAGTGCTGACCCTCGACACCACCGTCGGGGAGATGATTGACGGTCTGCGACTGTTCTCCTGAGCCGAGGTGAGGCCAATGGCCTGCTGCCGAAAGGGGGGCCTCCGGACGATTACCCCCTGAGCGGCTGGATAGTGCGACTGGGATGAAGCAGCTGCTCGGCAGCCAGAGATGAAGAACTAATACGGAACAATCAGACACGGGCATTGCTGGAGGACGCCGACCAGGCAGGATCTTGGGACAGCTCTTTGGGAAACCAAGTTTGGGCGTTCGGCTGCAGGTCGAGATGAATTGGGTGCGATTGGGACTTGCCCGTCATTTGGAACGGAAATTGCTTTGCTGTACGATACATAATTGGGAACGGAAACTTTGATCGATAATGAAGCCACGTCTAATGACAGACTGTGTCCGTACTCAAAGACACGCACGACCAGTGCCGCCAACCAAGTTAAATCTCGCGGTCAAGACGGTTCACACGGTTCTATTCCGCTAGTTACTGTACGCTCGCCCGATTATACAGCCACCCCGAGCGTTTCTCCCCCCCAGATCTGCTCCTGCACTCCAGTCGCGCGCATCTATGGACAGCCTCCACAAAGTAGCATTCTTCAACGGTTTCCTCCCCCAGCGAGCATGATGAGTGGGATCAAGGGGTTGCTCCGAAACAATCTCAACGCCTCCAGAACGAAACCAAGCAAATGGAGGAGGAGCTGAGTAACCAGCCAGCCCCCAACACCCCCCAGAGCGCCACGACCAAGAGAAATGCAAGCGCACATGCCAGCGCCAAACACCGTGACCATGAAACCAAGTAGCAGAGTCTGGCCGCACCCTGATTGAACACGCCTTGCGACACAGATCTCAGATTTGTGGGAACGTCGTAATGTCCTCGAGAATCGATTGCAGAGACACAAACGCGCCAGGGCCCCCGTCTTGTCGGAGCTCGTCAAGCAGAACGCTAGTCTGCGCATAGATCTTTTCGAGAGCAGCCCGCGATGACTTGCCAAGTGAAGCTGCAACGGGTCAGAAAATAAGACATCGGGTGTGGAGAGCGAGACTTACACAGTATGGCTGAGTTGAGCTCCTCGGCAACCAAAGATCGGCCCTTGCGGTCCATCAGGTGACTAACCTGTGGCTCTTTAAGCGGGTTCGAGTAGGCAACCAAGGACCAAATCTCACTCAGGGCGTTTGATATCTCTTTGCGAGAATCGTTGGCGTATTCAGCGCCGAGAGCCTGTCCGTATTCCAGCATGCTCTGTTCCAATTGCATGAGCTCCATCTGTTGCTCCGAGCCGTCCATGTCCATGTTGTCCACCAAGGACACGCCGTCGTTGCCGTTCAGATCGAGGTCCATGTCCTGGGAACCGGACGTCGGCCCGTGACCGTTGCTTCTTTTAGATTCACCGCCGCCGGTGCGGATTTGTGCCGCTTTCCGAACCATCTCGATGAACTTGCGACATCGCAGCTTGAAGTACACCTCTTCGTTGTCCTGCAGCACCTGGGGATAGAACGCGTTCGTGTGCTTCAGTGCCCGATCAATGTCTCCTTCCAGAATAGCTCGGCGGATCCCTGCATCAAGTTAGAAGGGGCAGGGGCAAAGAAGCTCAGGCAAGGATACGTACGTTGGCGGTTGTTAGCGTCCTCGTCATCCTTGATGTTAATCCCGTCTACCTTTACGTTTGGGTCGAGATTGAGGGCCTCCTTTTGCGCCTTGATGTCCTCTGCAAAGGCTCTTGCAGTCTCCACATATCCATCATGCTGGAGAAACTGCAGAACCAATGTTTGGATGAGGTCAGTCCCGTTCATTCCCGGCTCCAGCCGTGAGGTGTCCGTTGCCGCGATCTCCAACTGGATCTTTTCTCGTTGTTCCTGCGCAACACAACGTCAGCGACTCCTTGCATGTGTTGCATTGCACGACAGGGCTCGTACTCGAATCATGTCGTCAATGTTATAGACGAATGGACATTGGCCAAAGTTGGCCGTGACTTGCTCTCCAGTCTTCTTCATGCTGACTGTAGGATACAGCTTGCTTCGCACCACATCTGTAAAGGCAGTTCCTGCTATCCTGTCAGCGTGTGCAAGAGTATCTTTGCGGCAAGTAAACGTTACCTAGTTTCACTCCGTTCTTGGTGAAAAAGGCTGTGTGATCTCTGAAGTTGACACCGCAGCCGATAACGTCGCCGAGACTGAAGGTCGGTCCGTAATTGCGTCCGATGTTCTGACCAGTGTACGTCCGGCCGTCATCACCGTGGTAGCCCCAGGATTCAGGTTCCCAGCCCACTGCTCTTGAGAGCGCTGTATTTCTGGCCGAGAAGCCAATAGAGATGGTGGTGCTTCCATAAGTTAGCCATCGTCCTCTTCAAGCCGGCTGCAAATTGTCTCGCTTACTCGTCACGCTTCCCATACACAATTTGCACCTCAAAGTAATATATGCCACATTCCGGGGGCATATGATGGTTCGCTCGGACGCCTCCAGCCTCGTATTCACGCTCGTGGTGGTTCTTAGAACCAACGTACCGGACGGTGAGTGGATTTGACTGCACCTCGGCACCATGGCCGGCGTCGTCCTTGTTCCATCGAGTCGGCAGTGGCGGCACTGCCTCGTCTTCCTCGAAGGGTGGCGGTCGTTCGATGACGTTGTGCGTCATGCCCCGGTGGGCGCCGGAAGGGAGCGGCGGTCGGACAAAGCCGTTGGAATCCACGTTGGCTCCGTTGTCTGTCGATCGCTTCGATTCCTTGGCCGATTGTGACTGTGCCTTCCTCTGCTCCTCCAACAGTCGCATGTACGTGGAGCCTCGGAGGTACGAGGGAACGAACGCGCCATGCCCAAAGCCGTCTGCGTCTCGCGGGGTGGTGAACATGTCAAAAGCGCGAGAAAAGGAGGGCAGAGGCCCTGCAGCGTTCCAAACATTGGCCATGCCGTCGCCGGCCTGCTCGTCCATGACGGCGGTATCGTGGGTCGGCGGTCGTGCAAGGCTGGGGACGGGTTCGACTAGGAGATCGCCGCTCGGGCTCAGGAGCGAGGTGCGGGAGGGATGGGTGTAGAAGTTGGAGCTGTGGCTTCCCCCGCCGCGCGGAGGAGCGGCCGGAGCGTTGTTGTAGGGAGAGGCACGTCGGCTGCGAGACGTCTGGCCCGTGGTTCCAGATGACGAGTCCGAGTCTGGAAAGCCAGATGAGCCATGCCGAAACGGACTTGTCATGGTGATGGAGGGAGGGAGGGAGCGCAGGGGAACGAGCCCGGCAAACGAGGGCGCGTGCAGCTGCGGGAGCTCCCGGTCAACGCTTCATCAACCTGCCGCTCGTTCGTACCTGGACAACGGGCGGCCAACACAGCTTCACCGGTGAGGCGGGTGGCGGCAGTGCGTTATGGAGGAACGGAGGGAGGCTCGAGAACCGCTGCGGGTAGACACGGGCTTCCGGCGCGGAGGGCTCGCGGGAAAGACGGGCGGGCGGGTCGGTGTGTTGCTGAATCGTCGTGCTGCGAGCCAGCAGAGAGGTCGAGGCGGGCGAGGGCGGCTTGGAGACGCGGAGGATGAAGGAGGAGGCGGTTGGAGCGGGAGAGGGCCGCGCGATTCCGGGAGTGGAAGAGCTGCCCTGCCCCGATAAAGCACGATAAGCGGCAGATGGATGGGGGGCGTGCCAGAGCCCAGCAGCGTGACCAGCACCTGACGTCGAGACGGCGAGGCTATCAATCGCCGCGAGACCGTGTAGACGAGGTAAAGAGGCGGAAGTTGGCCCGTAAGGCGAGACGATTCCAAGAGTGCCGGCGCCCAACGGTGGTTTAATGGATGGCGAGGTGCGCTGCGGAGACGTTCAAACACGTAGGTGAGGTGTCATCGATGAGGTGACGAGAGGTCCGGGTGGTGGTGGTGGTGGTGGTGGTGACGGAACCCCCCATTGCGGCGCTAGCCCAGGTGCTGTGGTTGGGGAATTTACTGGGACTGGGACCACTGCTGCTGCTGGTCCGGGGGTGATGGCGGCCGCTGAGGTGCCCGCCCTGCCGCTGAGCTGGCATCCATGGCTGGATGTCGCTGCATGCCCCTCAAGCTGCAGCAGCGATCACAGCACCTGCGCAGCGCTGGCGCCAGCACAACGAGCACCCGACCAGCACCAGCCGGTGGATCGCCCATCACGCTGCTCCACCCACGCTGGCCGTCACGCGGGCCACCTCCTCCAGCTTCCCTTCCCGGTCGGGAACGCGGGCGGCCACCTCGGACGCATCATCAGCAGTGCCCCCGGCATCCACCGCGGCCTCACCTAAGGTAGGGAACCTCCATCAGCACGGCCGCGCTGAATGGCTCGGCCTCCCGCTGTAGCTTAGGCCTCAAGGCGCCAGCCCGTCCGCCCGCCCATCAAACGACGGGGCCTCATCCCACCACTGGAGAGCCACCGGACGCCGCCCTCGTCCACCAAAAAGCCACGGCAAGGCAGGTCACGGACGCTCAACGTCGGGGATGCACATCCATTCCATGGCGCCAGCGAAGCGTCTCGCGTCTCAGCCGGAAACGCTGAGTTTGACTCGGCGCCCGCTCTGGGCGCCCAACCACGCCTGGCTCGTCCGCCCATGAATAGCATTTAGCCTACGGCGAATGATGATGATGGGTAAGGTACCTTGCAGCTTGTGCTGATGGAAGAGGGCGGAGGCTGGCTGCCGATATGCACAAAGAGCGCCAGAAGCCGCACCAGCACCAGTGACAGCAACCCTCTTCACATCCTCGCTCGACGCCAACGCCGTGAACCCCCCTCTCTCCTGTCGCTGCTGCTGCCACGGGTGCCGCCAGCCAGCCACCACCCAGCACGACAACCAGCAGCCGAATCCGTCCCGGCCGCTCAGGCACACGCCGATGTGCGCTGACTAAGCCGCTTTGGAGATGGCGACGTCGCTCCAACGTCCCAACTCGGCGCCAAGATGCCGCCGCCCAGCGTTGGCCCTCAGTTGAGCGCACCGTCCACGGGTCCAGCAGTCCAAAACCTCGAGTAACAAGGCCGTGCATGTATTGTCAATAGCTGAGGGATAAATTTGCCTGCTCGACCCCGCCGGCTCAGCTCGATGCCTCGGGACGGCGTGGATGATTCGCGAATCCCATGATGACATCCACCACGCAATTCCAGCGCACCCGAGTCACCCGAGAGCCGCTGAGCGGAGGTGGCGTCGGATCAGCACCAGTCCACAACATGACCAGCCCTCTCTGCCCACCACGCGCACAATCACCCCCGTAAACGTCACGACAATCGCCCAAATTCACAAACGCCTGCAGACCAGCAGCCGGCGATGCGTGCCATGTCAGGTGAACATCGGCTCGAGCCGGTCTATATATGAACCCTGAGCCTGTGAAAATCCTCATTACTGTACACAAAAGCCCGCTGTCCTCGGCCCGGTACTCCACGGCCCGGCCGTCCATGCACGCGGGCGCCCATTTCCTGCCCAAACGCCAGCGACTCGCCCGTCGCGTATGTGAAGAGTCGCATAATAAACATGACATTCGAACAAACAAGCAACCATGCTCCTGATGGCCATTCAAGCCCATCCCATAGGCCTCGCTCGGCATGTAGCCGTCAACTCAAAACTCCCCAAGCGTGTTGAATAGATGCAAAGAAGCCGCCGCCGTGAGGCAGTCAAAGTAATAAGTGCATCTACGATGCGGCCGCGACGGCCATTGGCGCGGGAGACGATGCGTTGACGCTGTGGACACTGCGCATCTCGGCGTCGGCGCCGCTGTTGCTGTTGCTGGCGCTGTTGCCCTCTTGGCCGTTCTCTTTGTTCTCTTTGCTGCTGCTATTGTCCGCCGCAGATGGGGCGCCGGATTCGCCATTGCTGGACTCCGGATCCTTCTTCGGAGGCGCAGTCCATCTTGGGACGTCCCAGACGACGCCGGTGAAGCTCTTGAGTTTGAAGCCGCCGCGCGCCCACTTGCGACAAGGCTTGCCGCTTCTGTCGAGTGCACGAAGGCCGGCGTTGATTGCGCCTTGGTTCGCCTTGGGGCCCAGCTTGTGTGCGCCAGAAGGTCGGCTTGCCGAGTGATCTATTGTGCCATCCTCCCTGGTCTATTGTTAGCACGCTCATGTAATCGAGGGCCGTGGACGTTTCTTTGTGGCCCGTCGCGGTTCCATTGTTTGGGATGGAAGGGTGGCTTACAGGCGAGGCTTCTTCTTCGGGCCCGGCTTCCCCCTTGGCTTGGGGACACCGTCAATGAGGCCTGCCGCACCGCGCTTTGTTCCTCTCTTCTTGGGTCCCTCGGTGGGAGGCCCCATGACGGACGGGGCGGGAGTGCCCTCGGCAGCCGGGGTGGCTGCATTCGAATCGCTCGCGTTTTCGCCATTGGCGGTCGGCGCGGCGGCGAGGCTGGCTGAGTTGGCGGGCGAATCCTTGACGTCCTTGGGCTCCGACGGCGACTTGACGGATGGCGTGTCTTCCTTGATGGAGTCGGGGTCGACGATTTCTCGGAGCTGACGCGAGGGCACGGTCAAAGTCACGAGCAGACTGGGCTTACCGCCCGACTTGCGCCGGGCGTCTGCGGATTTGCCGGTGGGAGGCATCGCGAAGGCGAGGTGATGCAGGGCGGTGTCGCGATGATGGGTTGCGGCGTGGGTGTCGAGGCGTTACGATGGGGATGACGGGGGACAAAGGTTGGAGCGTGTGGCGATGGGGGAGAGGGACTTTATTAGTCGAGGCGAGGCGAGGCGACGTGGTGGATGGCGGAGTCGGTGGCAGATTCTGGGCGGTGGCCCGGCAGCACCTCAGCAGTCAAAGGAAGGGCAAAGTCGAAATGCGGTGCGGTGCGGTGGTGCTGCTTGCTACTTGGTAGCAGTGAGAGGCGAAAGCTGAAGCGTTGGGGTGCCGTCGTTGGTGGCCTCGGCAGCAAGCGGCGGCGGCGGTGGTGATGCAGCACGCGGTCGAGTCGATTCAGGTCAGGTCAGGCCAGGTCAGGTTCCAGGCGGGCAGGGAGGTCAGGGGGCGGGCGGGATTTGGCGGCGCTGGTCTAACAGGCGGTGGTGACGATGGCGATGATGCACATGGCGGCGGTGGTGATGGAAAACAGGGACGGACGGGGAGCGTTGGGGGGGAGCGGAGGCAGGGAGGGAGGGAGGCGGGATTTTCATTTTCTGGGGGGCGTTGCGTTGTCTCGTAGGTTTGGGGCCTTGGTCTCATCCTGACAATTTTTTGGTGCCAGAGGCGGCGCACAAGGCAAATGATGTGGGCAAAAGGTTTGTCTGCGCGGGTGGACGGCGGCGGCGGACGGACGACGCTGGGCTGGCGAGCGGCGGCGCGGATGCCGCAGAGCGCAGAGCGCAGAGCGCAGAGTGCAGAGTCCAGCCCCAGCCTGGCAGCCCAGCCCAGCCCAGCCCAGCAGCAGCACAGCGGCACACCTCCCGTCATCAGGGCCAGAACGTGACGCCCGGCCCGCCGACCAACCAGCGCGAGGGGGGTGGGGGCGCTGGGGAGCTGCCGCCCGCCCCGATGCGGCCTAGCGCGTGCGGGAGGCCCCAAAAAGGGACCACGCATTATCCTTGCCTCCGGCCGCGCCGGCCAATCGACGAGCCCAAGGGGCGCGTGTCCGCCGCGACGGCACGCACGCAACCAGTTTGCCAGTGTGTCCACGCAGTCAGTTGGAGGAAGGAGCAGGGGAGGGCACACACCAGCTCAGGAGGCAACAACAACAGCAAGCACGCAGTCGGAAACGCCTGGAAGGCACGACACGCGCACACTTGACAACGGACAGCAGCCAGCCAGCCAGCCCCAGCGTCCAACAAACCTCCGCCTCCATCTCCACCTCCACCAAACCATTACCAGCGCCACCTCCCTCTCCTCTCGGCGTGCCGTATTTGCGGGCACCAGACACGAGTATTACCGTGCTGTCTGTCCAGCACAGCGCGGCTCGATCTCAAGCTGAAGCTCCGTGGTGTCAGCAGCGTCCACACCCTGCCTCCTGCCCTCCTCATCAGCCGTCACCAACGATCCCGGAATTGCACCACTCGGCTTGCGGCTTCTCCAAGTCTTCGCCACCCGAGCAGCGCAACCAACGCCCGGGCTACTTTACCCCATTGTGTTTCACGACGCTGCTCCCTGTGCGTTTGCAATGCCCGGGCCGTGCAAGGACCGTATGCCGTGCTTGATTGCCCGCCCGCTAGGGACCTTCACTTGATCCGTCACTCGAGACTGAACCGGCAGCGTATGGGCACAGCGAGCCGTGGATCATCGCATTCACTCCCGCACGTCGCCCTGGTGAAACTGGCATGGCGCTTCCAACCAATGCCCGCAGATTCGTCCCGGCCATTCGCAACCAGCTGGTGGAACGACTGCACTGCTCGCTCTCCGGGACCAGCTCGGCACTCAAAGAGCAATCCGATGCGACGTGGCATCGAGCAATGACTCGCCGCGCCGTGGGCCGGGAATTTCCTGCTGAGCCAAGGATCGCAATAGCCTAGGCCAATCTCGCCTTGCAGTCGTACGGTAATGCTGCTCTGCGCCGCACCCTCGCTCGAACTGGCCGCCCAGCTGAAGCGGCAATTGCCCAGTCGGTCCACCACCAAGCTGTGACAAAAAGTCTAACACGGCCCGACTGGCAACAGCCTAACCGTACTATTCATCGACAGCCAGATCAGGCGACAGAACAGTAGTGTGGGGACGGACAATGTTCCGCTCGCGAACTGCCAAGGGATTGGGAATGCCGCGACAAGTGTCGTCAAGCGTTCACAATGACCGTTGCTATTTCAACCTGGCTGGAATGCAATATGCGTGCGAATGGATCGGCGAAGGCTTGGTCACAATAGCTCGGTGGGATTGACAAGCGTCATTCAGCCAAGTCGTCCATGTGTCGACTGGAATGCGTTGCTCTGCACAACGTCAAACGTCTTCCCTGGGACAATATATCATGCCCTGGCCATTATCATCGCCTTGAACCAGCCGAGAGAGTGCTCTGCCATTCACCTCACAACCCTTGTCAAAATTGCTACACAATGGTTCTACTTACCGATCTCGTCAATGCTGCTTTCGCTCTATCCTCTGGTGTCGGTGATCCAGCGTCGGTTGACACGCGAAATGCCCTCGCTAGGCGTGATGTAAAGTATCTCCCTCGTTTTGCCAACGATGCCGTGCAACTCCACCATACAGTCAAGGTCGCCAAGGGTGTCGTTCAGGCGAGGGACACAGAGGCCGTTCAGGTGCCAGTGTCCGAGCTGGTTGACATTCTAAGCAAGCTACACAGCCTCGAGAAACAAGTGGCTGCTCTGCTGCCATCCGGTCGCCTCCCCGATGACAAGAAGGCGGCCGCCAATGGAGAAGAATGTGATGTCGAACACTTGCTGTACTACCTCGGAGTCAATGGTACCGACAGCAAGCCTGACCAGGTACGTGATCACCCCTTGTTCCGTAGAAACGCTAACTGCACTATGGATGCCGTGGCCGCAGAACAACAATCCGGAAAGAACAGTGGAAAGAGCACTGCCGCAAACACCGCCGCAAACACGCCCGCGGGATCAGGCGATGAGCCTGCCTCGGCTTCTGCCTCTCCTGACAGCAAAGATGGCCAAGCCAGTCACGGTAGCCCGTCAAGTAACGCCAATCCTTTAACCCGCCCTACGTCTCCCGCGGACAGGCCCGACAAACCAAAGGATGGCCCGTCAGGCGCAATCTTGATCGAATCGCCCGACGCAACGGATGCAGGCGGTTCCAAGAAAGCAGCCGTGGACGATATCGCGACTCCCGTGACCAAAGCGCCAAAGGAGGCAGAGCCGACGGAAGCAACAAACACGTTGGACAAAGTTTACACCACCACCCTGGAGGAGGTTGCCACAGACCTTGACGGCAATGTGAAGACTACGACGGTCACGAGGACCATGACAAACCGGGTGACGGTGACGATTTCCCGAAAGCTCACGGTCGCCATCGCTCCGTCTCCTACCGACGCAGCCCATGAAGACGCATCCCCCGCGAAGAATTCGACGAAGATCGTGGGAGATGCGACCAAGGCCGCTGGAGATGTGGGATCCAACGCAGACACAGAGCAAGCTGCTCCCGGCCAAGACGTGACGGCGGCGCCTTCTCCCAGTTTGAAGGTCCCCGTTCCCGTCGGGGCGAACCAGCAGTACACCAACTCGACCGTCACGAATCAAGACGTCGAGCCGGAGACTCCTGCGGCTGAGTCCACTCCCGAGGAAACCACAAGGCTTCTCATGGGAACTGGTGATTTGCCGAGCGGGTTCAAGACGATATCGACACCGGCCGCCAAGGCGGAGGCAGCAGAGACTACTCAGTGAAGGAGAGCTAGGGCAGGGAATCACGATTGGATTTTGGTATGATTCGGCTTGTATTATGCTTTCGTCCCCGGTTCGGTTCTCGGTTTCGACACGCAACGACTGGGAGGGTTGATAACGATTCGCCACGCGCCACGACAGATATCTACAGAATGGAATATGGATCACGAGCAAGATGAGCACCAATAATGGCACAGATAATTCGCACCCGAGTTTCTTTTGCGTAATACCTCGTCCGCGTGAGGGGAATATGACTAGGGCATGGGTTCGACTTGATCGGGCCGCCCGAAGACCGGCCCTGGTGCCCAGTGTTTTTGAGGGGCCGTCTGGAATGCGGGAGCAGAGGCTGGGAGGCAGGCCGGGGCCGGGCAACGCTCTGTGGCCGGAATCGTTCCGGCCACGGCTCCACAAAGGGCCGGGCAGAGTCGGCACCATGTGGGCCCGCCTGCCCCTTAAGTGCCCCGGATTCCCCCACGAAACGACGCCCTCCGCCTCCGCTGCGCGCCCCAGTGCCGCGACGAGGATTGGAAAGCATGACCTCGTTTCCCCGGATGGCCTTGGAAGCGAGGCTCTGAGCCACTGCCGACGGCGTGCACGGCAGTCGACGGGCGGTGTCTTGTTTTGGCAGTGTCGGGCCATGTGGCGAATCGACTTACACGACGATGCCCTCACTATCGCACGGCGCCCCGTCTGTGCGGCGCCGCGGACCGGCGACGACCGCGGCGGGCGGTCGCTTGTTGTTGAGGACGATACTGTTTCTGTTACGTGTTCATGCGCAATCGAGGCGGCGTGCCTTCCAATAACGAGGGTCCGGGCTTGGCTCGGGCTCCGAGTTTGCTGCGCATCGTGACCATATCCCCGCCTGCGTGGCCGGAATGCATTCCGGCCACGGGGTACTTAGGCGGCGGCGATGGCCCAAGTTGAGCGCCCGGATTCTGTGTTGCTCAGCATCACTCGAGGCAACTTCGGAATCGAGAAGCACAGCTTTTTTTGCCACAACCTGTTGCCCCTTGCCCCCCTTTCCCCCATCACGATCCCTCGTCTCCTTCCCCCCCTTTTACCTCAAGACGGATCACCACAACTCCCCCCTCAACAACAACAGCCCACGCGCACGCAAGATGGGCTCCCTCGCCACCGCTCCCTTCGAGGTCCTGGACGACACCCGTCCCGAGGACACCTCGCTGCCGGCCTTCATGGTGTCCACGACGCGCGGGTTCCTGCCGCGGATGGACCCGCCCGTGAAGCTGCCCAAGGAGTTTGACGCGCTCGAGTCCATCCTGCAGCGCATGCCCGTCAAGACGCTCGAGGGCGAGCCGGGCCTGCTGGCGCAGAGCAAGCTGGGCCCGGAGGTGGACTCGTCGTTCCCGGACCTGACCGAGGCCATGGACAAGTACAAGGACGACCTGCCCCTCATGAACGCCCTGTACCGCGACTACTCGTTCCTCGCGTCGGCGTATCTGCTGGAGCCGTGCCACGAGCGCTTCGTCCGCGGCGAGGGCTACGGCCTGGGGCGGCAGGTCCTGCCCAAGAACATTTCGCACCCCATTGCGCGGTGCGCCGAGATGTAAGTCTGCCCACCTGGTGGAAGTCTCAGAAAGGGGGAAACGGAGTTCACTAACACGCGGACCCCCATCGCAGCTGCGGCTTCAAGCCCTTCATGGAGTACGCCGGCTCGTACGCCCTCTTCAACTACCGGCTGGAGAACCCGGCGGCGGGGCTCGAGTACTCGAACCTGCGGCTCATCCGGGCTTTTGAGCACGGGCTGGACCCGACGTCGTCGGAGGCCGGCTTCGTGCTGGTGCACATCGACATGGTGAAGAACTCGGGCCCGCTGGTGGCGGGCACCATGAAGTGCCTGGACGTGGCGTCCAAGATGGACGCGTCGTCGCGGTCCTCGACGCTGGGCACGCCGGCGGAGCGGGCCGAGTTCAACGAGGGCCTGGCGAGCATCCTCGAGGCGCTGCGCAAGATCAACGGCGTCATGGAGACCATGTGGGGCAAGTCGCGGCCGACCGAGTACACGAGCTTCCGGACCTTCATCTTCGGCATCACGTCGCAGTCCATGTTCCCCAACGGGGTCGTGTACGAGGGGCTCAACGACGGCAAGCCCATGTCGTTCCGCGGCGAGTCGGGCGCCAACGACTCCATGGTGCCGCTCATGGACAACCTGCTGCAGGTGCCCATGCCGGACACGCCCCTGACGGAGATCCTCAAGGACTTCCGCTCCTACCGGCCGAGCAACCACAAGGCGTTCCTGCTGTGGGTCAAGGAGCGGTCGCAGGAGCTGGACCTGCGCAACTTTGCGCTAGGCCTTCATGCCACATCCGCCGAGGCATCGCAGGAGCAGCTGGACCTGCTGCGGGAGTCGCGCAGCCTCTGGCTGCAGGTGCTGGACCAGGTGCGCGACTTCCGGTGGCGGCACTGGTGCTTCGCGCGTGAGTACATCCTCAAGCGGACGTCGCACCCGACGGCGACGGGGGGCAGCCCGATCGTGACGTGGCTGCCGAACCAGCTCGAGGCGGTGCTCGAGGACATGGCGACGATCCACGCGCGGGCGCACCGCGAGGACGCGCGCGGGCTGGGCAAGACGGCCGAGGCGGTCATGGAGGCGGCGCTGCGGCAGCGCGAGACGCTGCGCAAGGAGGTGGACAAGTACTGCGCGGAGCGCGGCGTGCAGCGGGGGTGAAGTGAAACAAAAATTGAGACTGGATTTATGGTTGTGTATGTGTGTGTGAAGATGGAGAGAAAGAGAGGGTGTGTGTGAGGTTATGCGGCCGTTGGTTAGGAGGGAACAACCTGGAGTTGCTGTAAATACTCGGTCGGTCGGGTGTCAACGGTACTTGGGCTATGATACGGGGTCCTTTCAGAGTGGACGCAAAGAATGAAAAGCTCTATTCCTAACTTTACTGTACACGAGTCTTTTGTGCTGTGGTGCAACAGTACGAAGTATGCATGTAACTTAGTAGTATGCATGTATGCCACGGTCACTCATGTGATGAGCCGCCGCGGTACAGCATGAGATGCCGTGTAACAGGCCGTGGTGTTGAGCGGTGGGCACGCAACACGGCGGGCCGCAGGGTCTCCTGGAAATGGCACGGGGACAAGACGTGATGTGCGGTGCTCCGTGCAGTTATATTTGCGTTGTCATACGTTTTGCGAAGTATGTACTCCGTACAGTAGTTGATCTCAGATGCAAAACTGCGACATGTTGTTTCAGTCTTTTTATAACCAAAAACGTGGGGTCTGGGCGTCGACGCCAGTGCCCGCGTGGTGGCGCATCCGTGCCTGATACATCCCTACATTACTAGGTATGTAGTATGTATGCTGCGGCCGGCCGTCGCAGACTGGCAGTGTGCGTCGCATTCTGCTCGGGTGTGCTGCAAGAGTTCGAGAAGGAGGGCGCGCAAACGGTGTGCCAGACGAACGGCCAGTACCAACCGGAAGGGCGGGATGGATGGATGGACGGACAGACAGAGAGACAAATGCAGCAAGCTCGATGCGGCTGCATGAGGAGGCGGGCCATGCCAGGTTCAGGTTTGCCCTTCGGAGCCTTCCATCCTCGGCCGTCGCCATTGTCAGTCAAGCGCACGCACATCAATTCCCACTCTTTATTTTCTCCGCCTCCGTGTAAGCCGGCCGGCCGACCGCGGTGTCGACGGGTAAAATCAACAAATGGCAACTCGCCCGTCAGCGCTGCGGCGCGAGATGCCCGCATCATGCACGCATGCAGGCAGAGGCAGGGATGCTGGGGCCATGGCAATGGTGATTGATGGGATGTTGCTTGCTGCCCGCCCGCCCGCCTGCCTTTCTCGGGTTGCATGCTGCTCGTAGCAGTAGTTGAATCGCCGCCCGAAAGACGCCGCGGCCGCCCTCCATCATCACCCATGCAATGTGCCTCTCACGACGACGACGACGACGACGACGATGCTGCGGCTGCCCGACGCCGCCGCCGAGGAGGGACAGGCCGGCCGTGACACACAGTGACGGAACGCCGGACAGTGAGGTGAGTGACAGTGTGACACCACCAACTCCTCCATGCGCAACACATTGCACAAACGAACGCGCGCGGTCGCTTGGCGGCCCTTTGACCCGGCGGCGCCCCCCTTCGCCGTGCTCGCACAATAGTACCCGGCGCGGGGGACAATAAGCGGATGCGGCGGCGGGCCAGGGATCGCATGCGCGCCGTGCGTCCGACCCAACAGCACAGCATGCACACGCACGCACACACATGTCGCTCTCTCTCTCTCGCGCGCGGTCTCGCCCGCATGAGATTGCCCTGCATCGGGCCACCCGCCCCGACTCCCCGGGCGATGCGGGCGCTTGCGCTCAAGATCTGTCTCTGTGCGCAATTCTCCCTCTTTCTGCCTACCTGTCACATTTGCGATCTCTGCGTCGATCAAGTTGGCGAAAAAAAAGAAACAGACAAAAGCGTGCCCGTTGGTCGTTGATTCGCGGGGCCGTCGCGCGCGGCTGACACTGACGTCTGACGCAGAGGACGACGACGACGACGACGACGACGACTGCCAGCTGGGCGAGGCTTTTCGCGATAGCGGTATTCGCGCGAGCGAGCGACTTTTTATGCTGGGCGCGCTGGAGTGGATAGTGGTTGAACGCATGCAACGATGAGGGCGGCCACGGCGACGCGATTGCTGCCCTGGCTGGTCGGCCTGGCCGGCGCGCAGCTTGAGCTTCACGATGGTGTCGTCGCGGGCGACGGCGGCGGCGACAGAGCGCGGTACGCCGCCGTGCCGCTCACGCCCGAGGGCATGATGCCGCGCTTCGTCGCCGACCGGGCGCGGCCGCAGCTCGCCCGCCGCGACGGCAACTGCGGCGTCGGCTTCCACAACTGTAAGTCACGTTGTTGCTGTTCCGCCATGAAACGAATATGGAAGCGGAGTTGTGGCTGACCGGATGACACCAAACAGGCCTCGACGTTGGCTTCGGCGGCAGCTGCTGCGAAAACACGCACTACTGCTACGTCAACAAGCAGAGCCAGCCGCGCTGCTGCCCCATCGGCTCCAACTGCGTCTCCGACTCCAACTGCAGCAGCGACCGCTTCCAGTGCACGTCGACGGCCAGCGTCGCCGTCACCGTCACGGCCAGCAGCGGCCGCGGCAGCAACACCGACACCGCCTCCGTCACCGTCTTCACCACCGCCTCGGCGCAGGTCGGCTGCTGCGGCCGCGCGTGCCCGCAGACGAGCCAGTACCTCTGCCCCAAGGACCTCGGCGGCGCGTGCTGCTCTTTCGGCTTCGACTGCCGCTCCGGCGGGCAGTGCGTCGAGACCAAGAAGCCAGGCCCTTCATCGGGCACGCTGACGCCCGTCGTCGACGGCTGCACCACCTCGCAGTTCAAGTGCCCCGACGGCGCCGGCTGCTGCGACGAGTGGATGCACTGCACCCGCGTCTCCGACAAGCCCTACTGCGCCCCCGGCAACCCGACCAACACCAACGTCCGCTCTGTCGGCGACGTGCCCCCCGGTGGTGGCGGCGGCGACGACTCTACCTCGGATGCGAGCCTCTCGGGCGGCGCCAAGGCCGGCATTGGCGTGGGCGTCGCCGTCGCGGGCGGGCTGGTGCTCGGCCTCGCGGCGTGGTGGTTCTGCGTCCGCCGCCGGAGACGCCGCGCCGGCGCCGGGGGGGCCCGCAAGGACGAGCAGCCGGACCCGGACCGGGACCCGGACGCCGCCGGCCCCAACGGCTGGCCCCCCGGCAGCGACATACCCCGCGACGCTGCCCACCGCCCCATCGGCATCGGCGAAATGTCCGAGACGACGGCCTCGCAGCGCCCGCGCCTGACGCACGGCCTGACCGACGACTACTTTGGCCCCGTGTCCGGGCCTTACACCGAGGCCTCGGACGCAGGCCGCTCGACCACGTCCCCCGCGCCGCAAAGGCCCGGGCCGGAGCATCCCCAGGGGGCCGAAGCCATTGCGGTTCCCGTCGAGATAGACTCATCGACGGCCACGCCAGCACCGCCACCCGCGCCGGCCACGCCCACGCCGTCGACCCAGCATCTGTCGACGCACCCGTTCCCGCACCCCGAAACGACAGATGGCCTCTTCGAGCTCTACGGCTCCGAGGCGCAACAACCGCCCCAGCCCTCCCCCTCGCTCCTCACGACGGGCACTACACCAGGAACTCCCGCCAGCGAAGGACCCCGGAAAGCCGACAAATAAGGAGCATCATCATCATCTCACACCACCCATAAGCGGCACGGCAGATTAAAAAAGCCGAAAGAGGCGGCAGGCCCCGGAAGAGCATGAGAAATATCGTACCGTCTATATATACTACAAACGCCTTGCTTTATCCGTACACGATGCCCATTATGTCTAGTGGGTAGCTAGTCAGAGAGAAAGAAAGAGAGAACAGCAGTGAGAAACGCCCGCGGGGAGGGGGGCCCGATCGCGTGAGCGCCGGGCCCTTGCCACTTTTCAAACACATATATCCCAACGCCAGCGCGCGCAAGCATCCCAAAAATCAACACAGATGACGACGACGATTGGCGTCACATCAGGATGGATGAGAGAAAAACAAGAAGAGGACGCGCTAGCACACGACGCCGCCAAAGGGGGCGCAGGTGCGCAGGTCCTTGACCAGATCCTCCACGCTGCTCAGATGCCTGCTCAGCAGCTCCTGCTTCTCCTCGGTCGACAGCGTGGCGGCCGAGAGAGTCCCGCCGCTGCCCGCGCGCCTGCGCCTGGTGCCGGTGCCCGTCGCGGCGGAAAAGGCGCCGGCCAGCTTGCTGGGGCTGCGCTGCAGCATGGCGGGCACCGAGTCGCGGTGGTTGCCGTTGCCGGGGGCGCGGGGGATGGACGGCGTCTCGGGCATGAGGTAGCAGTAGAGGAACTCGACGAGCTTGAGCTTGACCTCGCGCGGGGTGGAGCGCGACTTGAAGAGCGAGGTGACGGTGAGCAGGCCGTCGAGGGCCTCGAAGGTGCGCGTGTTGGTGGGCGCGTCGATGAGGGCGACGACGAGGGTGAGGAGCGTGGCGGACTGGATGGCGGGGCAGTTGAAGGGCTCGAGGAGGTCGAGGAGGAGCTGTGCGGCAAAGTGTCAGTGATCACGTCATTGTAGGGGAGAATGAGAGATCGAAATGGGCTCGTAGCGTCGAAAGGGGCGCGGCGTCAGGTGGTCAAACACTCACATTCATGTTTTGTTCGCGCGCAAACAGCGACTTGCTCGGCGGGTGCAGCAGCAGCACACCCTGGATGAGGTCCAGTGCACTGAGGATGAGCAGGTCGTTCTGGCCGTCGCTGCCCTTGGCCATCAGGCGGTCAAGCGTGCCGATGAGGCGCATGGCCACGTTCCACTCGAAGCCCTCCTGCAGCTTGAAGAACTCGCGAAACGCCGGGTCGTGCGACAGCTGGGCGAGGTCCTTGCGCGGTGGCGAATGCTGCTGCTGCTGGCCGGGGGACTTGACGCTACTGCTGTTACTGTAGTTGTTGCCGCCGCCAAAGGTGCTGTTGACGTTGTCGTTGGTGGCCGCGCTGCGCTGGCGCTGGCGGTCGGCCTTGGGGTGGTGTTGGTCCGGGGAGAGGCATATCTGCGCGAGGAGGCCTTCGACCTGGCGCAGGCCCTTGCGGACCTTGGGCCCGTCGTAGGACGAGAGGTTGTCGAAGGCGAGGGAGAGGAGGGCCTCCATGGTGCTTGGCCGTCGCACGAAGCAACTCTTGGCGGCAAAGCTGGCAAACAGGACCTTTTATTCTGCGATCGTCGTGGGTTTCGATTTCCGGGCGCTGGGATGGGTAATGTTTTTTTCTTTGCAAGAAACGATAAACAATGGGTATAATGGGCGTGCGCGCGCACGTCGCGCCGGGGGGTGTGTTGGAAGGATTGTTGTTAATACAGACGAGCGACGAAGAAGAAGGCGACACGAAGATGCATTTCGCGGGGGGGTATCAATTGAAGAGAGTACACACACGCGCGCGCCGTGGCAGACCGAGACGGAGAAGAAGGAAAAGGGAAGGGAAAAGAGAAGGGAAGGGAGATCGGGCAGCGATGGGCGGCGGGCGGGTGGATTGCTCGTGCAGGCCAGATCGGGGTCGCATGGGCCGTGCATGGGAAAGTCGGGGGAATGGGATGAGATGCGACGGGGGTCTTTGTGTGTGGACAGACAGACAGGCACACACAGACGGAGAGACAGGGGGGAGTGGCAGGGAATTTGGGGTGCGTTTGGGAGGACTGGACGGTGATGCGACGTTGACGGGGCAACCGGGGACGGCGCCGGAGGAGTGGGGCGCTGGGTATCCGGCGCCGTCGCCCAGCTGGGGCACAGTGGCATTTCGTCTGGGAAACATGCGCCGTGTTATATTACGCCCTCGCCGTCCGCCCTTATTGCACGCCGTAATTTAGCATCTTGCGTTGTGGAGGGATGCACCAGCGGCGCTGTATTATATTGTCCGCTCGAGTAGCAGACTGATTGCCATCCACGCTCTATTTACCTGTCAGGGTAGGTTCAGTTCGACTCTTCGCAGTCTGCGCCGCCCCGGCCACCAGGACGCAGACAGAACTCCCCCCCCCCCCCCCCCCACGGTGGCGCTTTTCATCACAGACGGGACCGTTGGGTGCCGTTGGTGATGCATTAACGAACGGTGACTGCCTGTGCGGTGCGTGCTGGCGGGACAGACAGTAACTTAATGAGGCACCTTGATAGGCTCTGCGTTGAGTGACATGCGTCGGCGGCACACGTACTTGAAGAAGCGCCCCAAGCGCCGCCGCCGCCGTCACCTTGCAGATGGGCAATCTTATGACCACGCAATGTCTACTACTTCGTGCGAATGTATAAAGGAACCCCAATGGCGCCCGCGACAGCCAGTGCCTCGACAGCCTGTCTTTCGAACCCGTCGTCACACCTACGCCATCTTGTCTGCGTGCTCGCGTCGTCCCTTGGAGCCGCCCGCGCTCTCTTGAAAACGGCGACCGCTGTGTGTTTGCCAGCGGCATTGCTGACTCTCCAGCCAAGGTGCGTATATACATGTTCAGGGAAAGAAGTGAGTGAGTGAGTGAAGGGGTGATGAACGGCCCATGTGCCAACGCGGGCACCCTGTCGTGAACGGCGGTGCGTTGTTGAACCGCGGCCGCATCCGGAGACTGCAGAGAGACATCCATGGCTGGTCCTGGTCAAGGTGCGCTTGACAGTCCTGAAGCCGGACAAGCGCGCCTGCCCCGACTCCACTGGATCGAGGCGCCCGGGCGCCATCCAGCAGCGCCGCCAGCTCCCCGGGTCGGATGCCAATGCCACCTTGGCACAGACATCCACTAGGTATCCAGCGGGCAGAGGCTCCCACTGAAGAGCCCACCGCACCACCACCTGAGGCGACCTGAGGCTTCCACCTCATCCATCCATCCAATTTCCACGAGGTGGCTTAACTTGCCAGCGCATCCCTCTTCATCGCCTCAACCGGCCTGACCCCTCATCCCACTGCTCAACCGCCCATCTCATGATGTCCCCATCTCCGCCTCTTGGATCAACACCATACTGACCCGTCCGCCCGCTCGCGCGCGTGCGTCGTCATCAGCTCCGAGTCCACCATCCACCAACATCCGATCACCTGCACGAGCCGCGCGTGGCCAGCCAGCGGGCCAACCGCCCACCACCCCCCATCCGACCCCCAACTACCGGCCCAACACGCGCGCCACCTAGGTATTTGGACGTTGAACCGTCCCGCAGCAGCCCGTCCTCGTGCTCGACCGCCAGCGACGACGGTCCGGCCCGGCCTTCACGACTCACGACTCACGAGCAAAGCCACGAAATCTCCCCCCGTTGACAGATCACGGCACAGCTTTTTGCCTGTCCGTCCCGTCCCGCGCCGTGCTGAGATCCATTTACCCATCAGCCTGCCTAATTGCAGCACCGGCTTCGGATCGGTCCTGGAACCCCCCCGGTGGACAACCCTGCGCAAGTCCTACGTAGCTCCTAGCCAAGGCGGAACCGGAGACGAAGAAGCCCTCGTTCTTTCCATGCTGCTCGCCCCACGGCCGCGCCACTCCACCCCCTCCTCGTCCGCCGTCAGGATCAGGTTGCCCTCTGCGCTCCGCGCGGCCCCACGAGCTTCTGCCTGCCCGTCCGCCCCCGCGACCGCTGTCATAAGGCGAAGGCGTCCCCGTCGTCAAACATGTCCTCGCCGCCTCTCGCCGCCGCCGAACCCCCCTACTCCTCCTCCCCAGGCACCGCCGGCAATGCTGCTGCTCTGACGTCGCCCAACGCGATCCCCCCGAGGACCTCTAGCACCGGCCTCCACCACCAGCACATCAACCGCGCCAGCCTCAACGCCGTCCAGCAGGGCCACGCCGGCTTCACGCAGCCCACGCCGCTGCCGGCGTCCGTCCTCGCCCCCGTCTCCGAGGCCGACTGGATCGGCCAGCGAGGCAAGAAGCCGCACCACCAGGCCCCTCCAGGCACCGACTGGCGGTCCCCCGCCCTCTGCTTGAGCCCCGGCTTGGACACCATGGGGTCCAAGTCGGACTCGTCCGGCGCCGCGTCCCCCTACCAAGGCCCCGGTGCAGCCGAGCGCTATGCCTGGGACGACCTCAACTTCACCCCCAAGCGCTGCTGGACCCAAGAGAAGGAGGCCGTCATCCGCGCCCCCTTCGACTACGCCCTCAGCCACCCCGGCAAGAGCTTCCGCGCCCAGCTCGTCGCCGCCTTCAACGCCATGCTCGACGTGCCCGCGCCCAGCCTCGAGGTCATCACCCGCGTCATCGGCATGCTCCACGAGGCGTCGCTCCTCATCGACGACGTCCAGGACTCGTCGGAGCTGCGCCGCGGCTTCCCCGTCGCGCACAACATCTTTGGCGTGCCCCAGACCATCAACTCGGCAAACTACATGTGCTACGTCGGTCTCCAAGAGCTCCAGCGTCTGGAGAACCCGCGCGCCGTCTCCATATTTGCCGAGGAGCTCGTCAACCTCCACCGCGGGCAGGGCATGGACCTGTACTGGCGCGACACCCTCACGTGCCCCACCGAGGACGACTACCTCGAGATGGTGGGCAACAAGACGGGCGGGCTGTTCCGCCTCGGCATCAAGCTCATGCAGGCCGAGTCATCCGCCGACGTCGACTGCGTCCCGCTCGTCAACCTCATCGGGCTTATCTACCAAATCCGCGACGACTACCTCAACCTCGCGTCCAAGGAGTACACGGAGAACAAGGGCATGTGCGAGGACCTGACCGAGGGCAAGTTCTCCTTCCCCGTCATCCACAGCATCCGCTCCGCGCCCGCCAACATGCAGCTCGTCAACATCCTCAAGCAAAAGACGTCGGACGTCCAGATCAAGCGCTACGCAGTCTCGTACATGGAGGGCACCGGCAGCTTCGCCTACACGCGCGCCGTCATCGCCACCCTCATCCAGCGCGCGCGCAAGCTCGCCGTCCAGATGGACGCCGGCAAGGGCAGGAGCGCGGGCATCCTGAAGATTCTGGACAAGATGGAAATAATCGACTGATTTGCTTTCGCAGCTCGGAAGCTGCTTCGTGTTACTGGGTGAGGGGAGCGGCCAATTTTGAGGGTCCATTCATCATGCTCGCATTTCATCGTCGTCGGCACCATAGCGGAACCGGTTGTTTGTCTGGAGTCTGGGCGGGTTTGGGAGGGCTGCGTGACACATGACATCACGGGCTAGCTTATTATACCACACTTGCTGTTTGCTGCTGCTGCCGCCAGGAGTTCACCGTTGGCGACTTTTTTCTTGAATGGAAAATGTTTAATGTCTCTTATGGAAACGCCGTGTCGTACAGTCCATCAGTGTGTGCATCGCATCATGACGTCGCCGTCGCGGGGGCCGCCCTCCTCTTGACGAGCCGCACCCACCGCCTCCGCCGCCATCGACCCCTCCTCTCGCTGCTGTCTTCGCCCTCCTCCCAGCTCGGCTGCGGGTGCTGCCTCGCCTTGAGCTTGCCACCCCCCGGGCCGCTCTTCTCGGGCTGCTCCACCACCCCCGTGCGCAGGTCCTCGCCGTCGTCGTAGATGTCGTACACCCAGCGCTCGCCCTCGGTCTCGACCTCGACGCCCGTGATGATGCGCTCCTCGACCCAGTCCCTGCTCCAGAGGTCGAGCGCCCACTTCTTCTCGCTCCACTCCCAGCCGTGCGGCGGGAGCACGTCCTCGAAGAAGCGCGAGCCGCGGGGCCGCTCGCCGGCGATGCGCGGCTGCGACAGCGGGTCGTACGGCGACGGCGCGAACAGCCACGGCTCCCACTCGCCGCCGCCGTGCGAGGGGCGCCGCCACGCGTCGTCGGACATGCGCTGCAGCTCGAAGATCTCCACCTCGCGCGTCTCGGGCGCCGAGTCGAGGATCACGTCGTCGGCGATCCAGTGGTCGAGCCACGTCTTGGCGCGCTCCTCGCGCGGCTGCACGTGCTGCTGGTGCTGCGCGGCCAGGAGCGGCTTCACGGCCGGGTGGCCCGAGACGACGAGGGCCCAGCCGCCGGCGAGGAAGAGCAGCCGCCAGGGGATGACGTGGGATGCGAGCGTCATGGCGACGGCGCCGCCGCACAGGAAGAGGAAGACGGTCGACGAGAGGGCCTCGTCGCTGAAATTCGTCACGGGGACGAGCAGCTCGACAATCTTGTCGTGCGCGTGGCTAAAGTCGCCCATGCTGTTCTGCAGGTCGCGCATGTTGCGGAAGAAGTCCTTGCTGAGCTCCTTGGCGGGACGGACCGTCGCGGCGGGCGCCAGGGGCGGGCCCTGCGCCGAGTAGCCGATGCTCTGCTCGCTGGAGAGGGTGCCCTTGGGGGGCGCGGGGTGGCGTGCGACGAAGGAGGGGACGAGGACGGCGAGGACGAGCACCACCATGGGCAGCGCGGGGAGGAGGTAGGGGTCGAGGCAGACGAAGGAGTAGACGGCGAGGAAGGACAGCGTGTGGGAGGGCTGGGCCCACGAGAAGAGCCGCACGGCGTCGGCCTGGAACTGGAAGACGACGCCGATGCGCGCGTTGAAGTGCCGGAAGTTGTACGACATGGTGGTGAGGTTGAAGGAGGGCCGCTGCGCGAACGCCGAGTCGCTGGCCTCGGGCGAGACGATGGGCGCGTCGGACCCGTGGTCGTCGTCAGCGGGTATCACCTGCTGGAGGAGTCTGCGGTAGTCGCGCATCATGTTTTAGCGTTTTACGCCCTTCGTAACCACGCATCCAGGTTCCCTTTTTTGCGGGCTGACGTACCTCTCCATCAGCCGGTCCTGGAAGCCCGCCTTCTCGCGGATGGCAGCGAACCCGCCGCGCAGGCCGCTGCCGCTCCGGGGCGTCGACGTGCCCGACTCATTCTGGTTGCGCGCGGGCAAGAGGCGCGGCGCCGGCGTGTCGTTGCCGCTGGCCATGACCTCGGCGGTGTAGTCGTCCATGACGGCTCTGCGAGAGTCGCGGGGGAGGGCGGGTGTAAGGTTCCCGGCGGGGGGCCTCAGGACATTGCGGCTCGATTCAGTACTTTTTCTGGTGTCGCGAGGTGCTGAAGATTGCGAAGATTGAAAGGGCACCCCGAGAGTCAAGGTAGGGATGATGATGTCGAGGTCGCTTCAAGGTTGGTGGTTGCATGCATGTATGAAGTAAGGGAGGCAGGCCGGCAGGCGGTAGGGCGAGCGACCGGCCCGAGGCATGTGACGTACTGAAACGGAGGGCGGGCCATGAGGTCAGTCCGGGCGGGAATGGAAGCTTGGGGCTGGGTGGGAGCCCACTTTGGGCGGTGCGGGACGGGGGGCAGCGAGCCCACTGCACCCACTGCCCGCCGAGCGTTGAACCTTCAGCCACAACGGCAACGGTCTTCTTTTAAGTGCAGGTGTGGCTCGCGGGGAGGGAGGGCCAGGCACTTTACGCATGGCATGGCGCTAATGATGTCGACTCCACAAGCACTTTGGAGATGGCGAGCGAGAGCCGGCAAATGTTCAGATTGACGAAGATGAAGACGCCAGCGTCACCATCCAGCCCGAGTTTGTCACACTGCGTGCGAGAGAGCCCACGGTCATACAGACGCCCTTCATCACCAAGCACCCCGCTTAGGAGATCACTCTTAGGGGGGTTCACAAGGTCGTCGCGGCAGCTCGGGCCATCACCTCCCGAGCCTGGTAATACGAGCCGGAGAGTCAACTGTTGTGCAATCCTCCGTACAATGTAATCGAGACGCAGCACAACAGAGGCTCGTCCCACCATGAGTCGTACCAAGACAGCGAACGGTGAGTCCGGTCCAGTGGCCGGGGGACTGCCACTTATATGGGGTCTGAATGAAATCCTTTATTATGTCCCGAAATGCTTAATTAGACCTTTTTCTTCTCCCCCTCCCTCCCTTGTTCAAGGAAAAGGAGGTCGTCGCCGCCCCTGGGTCCCAACGGTAAATCACATCTTGATGTCGGGACCTGGAGGGGGGGCGTTGTTGGGGGAGGCGCAGGAGTCGAGTAATGAGACAACTCAGAATCAATTCGCCTTTTGAGATGAACGGCATTTCCTTCTGGCTAAAGCACAACTGCGCATCGTACCGTAATAATCCGTACCCATCATGTACAGTACTACCTACCTACCTACCTCCCTACACGCACGCGCGCGCTGCAGTGCCGAAATGGTTTTGTTATGGCTGGAGGACGCAGAAGCAACGACTCCGGCGACAACAAACAACAACAAAACAACAGAGAGACACGCTTGCATGATACATCGTGTTTTGCACCTGACACGGGGCAGATCTGGGATATCGTCGATGTGAGCGCGTCAGAGACCGGGGGGTCGTTGGCCAGGCCCGGGGTGCCAGGGGCGGGCCTCCTTTTTTTTTTCTCCTCTCTCGCGTGCTGCCAGGCCGACCAAGTGGCCCCAAGGAGAAGGGGGCCAGAGAGCACGCATGATGAATGCAATGCATCCTCGTACATGCCTGGCCCAAGCTTGTCGTCGCGTTTGACGATGCCGGCATCTCGTCAAAGCTGTCCACAGATGAGCTCAGGGGTCCGGCGCATCTGCTTGGGTCCCCCTGGCCCTTCTCGTGGTTGGAGAATTCGCCGACATGAAATAAATATTTACAAGAGCAGGGTTCAGGCCTTTTTAAGTTTTGGCCCGGCGACAGCAACACGGGACGACGCTTTTCACTACCTACCTAGTAGGCAAGGTGCAAGTCGTCCGTCTCTATCTCTCTCGCGTGCGGCGCGCCCCGTCCCAACCTTGGATGGCTCCCGTCCCGTCCGCGCTGGCCCTTTCGGACTCAGGGGGGCGGACGCGCGCACAGGACGCCAGAGCAGCTGCGCGGCCGGAAGAGACTCGAGGGACGCCGGGTGGTCCCCTCCCCGGCCCGCGCGTGCTGTACGTACGTGTTCGGTGCACGCGCGCGCGGGCGTGCTCCCACCGCAGCACGGACGCAAATTGAAATCAGTCACGCTCCGCACTCGAGAGAGAGGGGGGCGGGCGCGGGCATGTCCGGGCATGGGCCACCGGTGACATGCGCATTTTGGAGCGAGCTCGTGAGGAGCAGGTGGAGGAGTACTTCGTAGGGGGCGAGAAACAGGACGAGGAGCTGGTGATGGCGGCGGCGGTGGTGGTGAGGAGGGACCCAGACTCCTCGAGTAGGTCCTCATCGCCCTCCCTCGCCTCACCCTCCACGGTGCGTCTCGCGTGAACGGCGACGCCTGCATGCACGACTCCTGCAACTTGCAGCCGCCGGAGCGATACCGTAGCTAGCGCATGGTGACACCAACTTTCTGCATTCCAAGGGCCATCCATCCCCGTCCAATGCCCTTCCCGCCTGCGAGGGCCCGCGGCGGACGGTCCCTGAAAAATAGGCGGGCCCGCCCTCCCTCACTTCCCTGGATGGATCCCGTGGGCATGGCATGGCATGGATCCATGGCTCACCTCCGACACCCGCAAGGCCCAGCCGTCAACAAGTCAAGTCGACGGGCCACTGCCATCCCAAGTCCTCACTCACAGCTTGCAGCTGCCGTTGCTCTAGCGCCCGTCCCTGCTAAAACGCACCCCACCAGGCACGCGCGCCGCGTCCAACAACACAAATCTCCCGTGCGTGGCACCTGGAGGTAGTGGTCCGTAGGTACCTGCGTACTAGCCTCCCGTCCGCTGTCGTCCCGTCTGTGCTAGCAGGAACCTTGACGTGCCTGCCCTACCCAGATTGCCGGGGCCTGCCTGCAAGGCGCCGAGTAAGTGGTGCCCGGCTTCAATCTTCCAATATTGCAGGCGAGGAACCGGCGAAGTGAGGGGGACGACAGGAGGGAGGCTGGGCGTCGTGGGACCGCCCGACCTGCTGGGCCGGACCTTCAAGGGGCCGCCGCCACTGTGGACGTCAGTGGCCTATGCCTGGGTCGTACCGCGCTCGGTGGCCCCTGCCCTGCGGTGCCCTCCACCGCCCCGCGACTCCTATAGCGGCGTCCGATGCGCCGTGAATGGGTACCTAGGTACCTGACCCGTGGGGCGCTCGACCACTCAGCGAGCTCCCCTGTGTGTCTTCCGCAAGCAACTTTAGTGCCGGCCGACCTGAACCCCCCTTCCTCCAGCTTTGTGCGGCCGAACCACCAAACCTCCGTGCTTTGCCCGCTCCGTGCAATCCATCCACCATCCCTCACTGCCGCCCGCGGGAGTCGAAAAAACACGCCCGCCCGCCGGCCTCGTCTCCAGAACCGCCATCTCGTCTGTGACGCCGGCTCCGACTCCCCCCTCCCCTCCCCAGCAACGAACGGCGCCGCTCGAGTCGCCGGTCGCACCCATTTTTGACCCTCTGTTTCTCCGCCGCGCCCTCGTTGCCCTCGTCGACGGCAACGGCGACCAACGAACCACGCACGACCAGACAGACACGTCCGCTCGCACTCTCGCCTCGCCCCATGTCCGTCGCGCCCGGAATGAGGTAGCCTTCCGCATGCTCTCAGCTCCCTGACCGGACTGAGGCTGCTGCTCCCCTGACCCCGAGCGACGACGAGACCATCGCCCGGCACGCACGCCCCTGGATTGGCGTCTCGCCTCTATGACATTGAAGCACCACCACCAGGCACACGCTGGGCCTCGACCAGCCGACTCCTCGTCTCCTACCCGAATGTATGTCCACTGCCCTTGCTCCTCCTTGCCCACGCGACGACGACAGACGGCGAGTCCCGCCCACTTGCTGTGCCGTTCGTGACTGCCCCAATCCGTCCCTTCGTGCCGCCGTCCCTCCCGCCGCTGGGCCACAAGCGAACCGAAGCCGAGCTGACTCGCCTCCTTTGTCTGCAGCGCGTCTGGCCCCGATCAGTCCTTCACCAAGGGCATTCGCCTCGTCTCGGGCAACGCTCCAATGCTCGCCGCCTCCTCGTCCAGTCAATTCAACCACTCGCTCGCCTCCATCGACCGAAATGGCGAACTCGGGCAGTCGACTCAGTCCTCCGGCTCGTACGACTTCCTGCCCTCGGTCAACTTCGACGACCTCCAGACGAGCATCGAGTCCGCCTCGACTGAGTTCAAGTTGACGCAGTTCCCCTCCCCGACTGGAGAAGGCAGCATTCTCGAGCCCAACGGCAAGCCATTTGCCGAAAAGAAGCTGCCAGACAAGCCGGCCATGCCTCAGGTCGCAAGCCAAGCGCGGGTCTCCAACCCGCCGTTGGCGAACAAGCCGGGGCGCTCCGGCTCCATCCTGCGGAGGCCTAGCACGTCTAGCAGACATACCAGCACCTCGTCCATGCTTTCCTCGAGTTCCGCCACCCTCGACGGCTCCGGTGCTGCACCGCCCTCCCGCAACCGCAGGCAGAGCCATTACCCGCCCATCTCCAACACAAACGTGGTCCCCAAGCCTGTCCGGAAATCAATCAGCCAGGTAATGACAGCGGATGCGGACGCCCCCACGCGTAATGTTCCGGCACGTCGTCCTAGTCTGTTGGGCGAAAAGGGCTTGAGCGGGGACTCGTCTCGCAGGTCCATCGACGGCGGCTCTGGGACTGTGCCCGATGTGCCACGCAACATGGCAAACTCGAGGGCCGCAAAGGCAAAGTCGGTGCAGCCACCTATGCGACCCAGTCAGGCAAATCTATTGGCAGGGTCCAACCTGACTCCTGAGCACAACCGGTTGTCAACATTGGCGCCCCGTTCGCCACGTGTCGGTGGCAGAGGCATGACCCCCTCGTCTGGAGGGAAGCGCGCCTCCGTAATGCCTGGGTCTCACCACTCCTCGCATGCGACCGGCTTGGGTGCGCGCACCATCAGCCCTACCGATACTCGACGGATGAAGCGATTGTCCACGATGCCACAGTCGCAGAGCCTCAATTTCCTGGCCAGCGTCCCCCCTCCACCTCCCGTCTCTATGGACACGCGCGCAGACTCCCGCTCGCCTTCCATGATTCCCCGGAAGGCATCTGGAACCCCTTCTTCGTCCCGGACGACGCCGGAGATTAGCAACCGAAAGTCGTACAGCTCCGGGCTGTCCATTGGCTCGACAACGAGCTTCAACACGGTGCGGACCTCGACGGGCTCGCTGCAGCCTCGCCTCCCTCAATCGATGTCGACGTCCCGCTTGCCTGCGCCCAAGCACACCACGGTGCACAGCTCTCATGCTGCCGAAGACGATGAGGATGTTCCTCCAGTCCCGGCGATCCCAAAGGCTTACGAGTCTCCCAAGGATTCGCCCGCGGACACCTATTTCATGGAAAAGAAGAAAACGGGCTTGAGCACCGTCGACACGATTGCCAGCTTTGGAAACTCGACCGGAAGCATCACGATGCCTGTCTTGCCAGAGCCCACAAAGGTGCAGCACAGGGCCAGTGCTCGGAAGAGCTCCATAATGCCGTCGACCGGCCTGGAAGATACCACGGGCGTTCAAATGAAGAAACAGCTGCAGCCTCTGAGGCTGCCGCCCCTCAATATCGGGCCGCTGAATCTTCCCACGAACCCAAAGTCACTCACTTCCAGTGATTACACAAGTTCCGGTCGGGCGCTGAGTCCCCCACCTTCGAGACAACTGCCGAAGACGCCCACGACACCAATGACGGCTTCGAAGAGCTCCTTCTTCTCCAAGAGCAAATACGATGAGACCATCGAGATGCCGTCGCTCAGAAGTAGTAGCTCAGTTCACCATGCTCACAGGTCAACCCCAACTCCGCCAGATGGAGACTCGTCAGATTCGTCCATCAGCATTTCCGAGTCGAAGCAGAAGGCGAGCATCTCGCCGTTCCTGTCATCTTCGCTGCCAAAAGGTGGCTTTGAGCATGGCTTCCTCAAGCGGTCCAAAACTGGCGGCGACTATGCTACGCTGACTGGTAATGCGTTTGACGACAGGGCCCACCCGAAGCCTGCCGGGCCAAGGGAGCCAAACATGGACAAACCGGTTCCGAAATCTCCCCCGCCTGCTCCCGCACGCGAGGAGCCACAGACGCCCACGTCGAAGAGCTCTCTAAGGAGGAAGCTGAGCTTGACATGGAAGCGTGGCAATTCCAAGGGCAGTCTTACGGGCGCCATGGAAATGGACAAGCCCGGAACGCATCAGCAAAGCAAGCAAGAGACCATGCCCCCACCGCGTATTCCGACGTCTGCGACGACTAGCAGCCTGTCGACCGCGAAGCATCCCGACCCGTCCCCAGTTGTCGGCGCAAACGGTAAATACCTCGAATCGCGGAGGCGGAAGAGCTCCGCCGCGAGCCTTACCAACTACGCGCCTCATGATCGAGTGAGGAGCGACACTTGGGCCAGCAAGAAGGAGGGTACGGAAGCCGCTGCTCCTGCATCTCGCAACCAGGGGCCTGCCAACAGGACGATTCGACCAAGGACATCAATGACCACTATGCGCAGCGCACTGTATTCCGCCGCGGATCTGGACAAGGACGACATGGTGGCAGAGGAGGAGATGCGAAAGATGGGCTCGAGACGCAAAGAGACTGAGGTCGCCGCCCGTGCATTGGATGCCTTGAGAAAGCGCGCGACGCCCAAGGAGCGCGTCGGCGCACACGAGGCCGTCCGCATCGCCATGCTCAACATCTACGAGCGGGGAGAGATTATCGACTTCGACGACATCTACTTTTGCGGCACGCAGAACGCCCACAAGGTCGTGGGCAACGTGCAGTCGGACGCACCAAATTTTGGCTACGATGACGAGCGCGGAGACTACACTATCGTCCCAGGAGACCACCTCGCCTACAGATACGAGATCATTGACGTTCTTGGAAAGGGTAGCTTTGGACAAGTAGTCCGATGCATCGACCACAAGCTCGGTGTGCTCGTCGCTGTCAAGATCATCCGGAACAAGAAGAGGTTTCATCAGCAGGCTCTCGTCGAGGTCAACATTCTTCAGAAACTCCGCGAATGGGTACGTTGCCCTGGGAGATGGCTTCTCGATCGGCTTCCCGCTAACAGGTTGTCTAGGACCCGAAAAACAGGCACAGCATGGTCAACTTTACTCAGCACTTTTACTTCCGCGGTCATCTTTGCATCTCGACGGAGCTGCTCGACATGAACCTCTACGAGTTCATCAAGGCCCACTCGTTCCGCGGGTTCTCCTTACGAATCATTCGGCGCTTCAGCAAGCAGATTTTGAGCTCGCTGATTCTGCTCAAACAGCGCAAGGTGATTCATTGCGATTTGAAACCCGAGAACATCTTGCTGCGGCACCCCCTCCATTCCGAGATCAAGGTCATCGATTTCGGCTCTAGCTGCTTCGAACACGAGAAGGTGTACACGTACATTCAGTCCCGGTTCTACCGATCGCCAGAGGTCATCCTCGGCATGACATACGGCATGCCCATTGACATGTGGAGCGTCGGATGTATCTTGGCGGAGCTCTACACGGGTGTCCCTATATTCCCTGGCGAGAATGAACAGGAGCAGCTTGCCTGCATCATGGAGGTTTTCGGTCCGCCGGAAAAGCATTTGATCGAGAAGAGCACCCGGAAGAAGCTCTTCTTTGACTCGATGGGTAAGCCGCGACTGACTGTGTCGTCTAAGGGACGCAGGCGGCGGCCATCATCGAAGACGCTGCAGCAGGCGCTCAAATGTGACGACGAGGCCTTCATCGACTTTCTGGCGCGCTGCCTGCGGTGGGATCCAGACCGGCGGCTCAAGCCCGAGGAAGCGATACGGCACGAGTTTATTACGGGCCAAAAGCCAACGGCGCCTATCCCGCGTCTCCCAGCGCGAGATCCATCTCCAGTCAAGCGCTCCAACACGGTGAGCGCGCCACGGCCGCTGCCGGATCCGCCAGGGGCCATGGGCAGGGGGTTGAACGCGGTGCGAACCGGAGTCAGCCCCCACAAGCCCGTCTCAGGGCCAACAAGCCGGAGGGTGTCTGGCGCGACAGCCGCCACGGCCGCCAGCATCAACAGGCGGACCAGCGCTGGCGGCGGATCCATCAGCGGATCCATCAGCGGCTTGCCACGTGCGGCCATTAGGACGGCGAGCGGGAAGCAGGACCTTGCCGCAGCGGGGGCCAGCGCAGCCATGAGCCGCAAGGCGTAACTCCTGTGGTCAACCACAGACGAGCCAGGTGGGCGGAAACGGTCCTGGACGACGCGGGCTGCCACTTAGCTGCGCGCGTTGCGATCCAGGGCTCGAGCCTCTTGGTTGACCGTTGCAACTTGCTTTTTATTCCGCGAGTCGAGCATTCCATCTTCAGCATTCCTGCGATATACCAACAGACACAACGAGTGTGTGACTCAAGGCATTAGCATCCTCAGCGGCTTCATTGGGCGGGCCGGCAGTTGCCTATGGCGGTCAAACGGATTACGAGAGGGCATGACGGAAATCATACGACCACGCAGCATCAGCCAGGCCTGGGCCTCATTGACATGTAAAACATCTTTCACGAAGGGATTGAGTGATGTGGCCACGGTGGTTACAGTTGCTACTTGTTCTTTATTGGGGCGGCGGTGGTACAGGCGGCGGTGGAAGGCCACGGGCACGCTTCACCGTCGCAAACGCGAGGCGATAGAGAGGAAGCTTTTCATTTCTCACATAATGACAAGCCCCGTACAGGGCATAGAACCGAACCAAGAGACATTGTGATACCAAGGCTTGGTCCCCCTTCCATCTCTGAGGCCTCCGTCGTGTGTGCCCATGCGTAGGTTTGGAGCCTTGGTCAGAGAGTCGGACCGTGGGTGCGTGGGTAGCAACTGCAAGCGCATAAGTGTATGCAGGAGCGCAGGGGCCACAATGAGGAAACAAGACGCGAAAGGGAACAACGACGATGGACGACGATGCAACGAGATTTGGCATGTGACATTGGCAACTTGGGGTCACTTGGGGTGTTGGCAGAAGGTCGGTCCAGACCGCGGCACTCCGAATGATGGTGAAGCTCCGGCGGCGACGACCACGGCAATGTGCTTACAGGCACGGCGACCTTGCACGGCAAGGCTTATTTTAGCAGCTATAGCCAACGCCCGGAGTGGGACAAAAGGTGGTTGTGATGGTGGTGGGTGTGTGTGTGCGTGTGTGTGTGTCAGATCGGGGTGCGGTAACCAGCGCATGTCTCACCCACTGCCGCCGCCTAATCAGGGCGGACAGAAGTATAGATGGGGATGGGATGGGGGGCAAAGACGCTTGGCTAGCCGCGCTGGCGGCTACGGGCGTGCCACCACGTAAACTTGCAATATCCGAGCGAGTTAGCGAGCGAGTTAGCGAGCGAGGACCGGCAGGCCGGTTGGCCGTGTCGCGTCCGGCGTGGTGGTGTTGCATTGGAGGCCGTTTGGACGGGCGTTTGGTTTCGTTTCGTTTCGTGGGGCCATGCAGCGCGGTGCCACTGCCAACGCCCTGCGGCAGGCGAGGCAGGCAGGCAGGCAAGCAAAGAGGCAATGTTTCTATATCAGTCCGGTCAATAGTGCTAATACTGCACATCGGGCCTCGGCAGAGCAGGCAGCACAGAATCAAACAAGAAATGCTAGCCAGAAAGGGAACCATCTTTCAATAAGTATCCCGCTGGCCAGCGTCCGGCGTGGGGGGAAACGGCGTGTGGGAGTTTGTGTGCATGTCTCAGCCATGCAGACGGAGCAGAACAGGTTGACGAGAAGGTGGCGGAGGGGGGGCGTGCGCTCAACGGCGACGCTCACCGAGAGCCCGCGTCGACACTGGGCCGGACGTTTGTAAGTGTTGGTGCACATGCGTCGACCGGCCTATCAAGGTGAGCGCGGCGTGAGCAGGTCGGCAAGGCCAGGCGGAGTGCGAGGCAAAGCCGGGCGAGACACGCCTTGCTAGTGTACAGGCCGGAGATGCATATCAGCCATCATCGCAAGGGGTTCGGAGCATGGAGACTGTTGCCTGGGGCCCGCGTGTGGGGGAGTCAGTCAAGACAAGCCGCTGCCGAGCATCAAAGAGGAACGGGATGTGCACGGCGGGCACCGCTACTGTACAGCACGGCGGGCAAGCAGGCAAGACGGGCCGCCGAGCAAGCAGGCGGGCGGGCGAGCCAAACGGCCGGCCCTCGCGCCTGTCGACACTGCTGCAGCTTGGCCCCACTTTCGCCGGCGACTCCGTGTGGGCCCAGGCGGGTGCCGGCGGAGGAGCTTGGGGGAGCAAGCAATCCACGCACCATCTCCAGGACGCCCAGCGAGGAGCCCAACTCGGGAGGCGGCCAGCAAGCCACGGGGCGAGGCGCAGCTCACCACCCACCCCCCCGTCCCGACAAGGTAGCGCCGCCCGTCATTCCCAGGGTCCAGGGGCCGCATTCTCCACAACGCCATGAGGTCATGGCCGTGGCTTGCCTCTGCGTGCCCATCTCCTCTGCGCCGTCCTCCCAGGCAGACGTCTTGCCGTATAAGGACACATGATTCGAAGTCCTACGTACTGCCGTCCAGCCACCGTCGACGGCGTCGCCTTCGTACGACACCGATCGCGTGGTCCGCCGAAAGTGTCGCTGTTCTTCAGTGTCGTGCCTGGGTCAACCTAGCCAAGGGAACCGCAAGGGAGCCGCGAGCTTGCACCGCATGCTGGCCCATGCGCCTGCGTTTGAGAATCGTTAGCATCAGAGTGAAACCGGCTTTTTCCTCAAGCCCAGGCTGGCAGGCCGGGACATCCGGCTCGCCTTCATCGTGCCGTCTCCGGGTAACAGTTGCAGAGTTGCAGACCTGCAGAGCTGCGCTTTGCGAGGAGCCATGGTTTACAAGTCTGATCATGTGAGAGCCTGACGGTGTGTCGATCCGAAAATCCGGTCGCTCTGTGGAATCACCCCCAATTGGCGACCTGCCAGGTGCGCGGCGACACCCCGGTCAGCAAAAACCGCTGCAGGCCCGATGGCCGCCGCTCACCTGGAAAGACGGTGCCTATTAATGGCAACACCGGGAGCGTTCGTCTCGGCGCCGTGCTGTTCAGTCTTCAGGCGGACCTCGCGGGCGAGTGTGCCACTTTTTGAGGTTCCACACGTTTCGCGAAATGGCGGGCGTCCTGGGGTCCATGGCCCGCGCGGCACTGTCATCGGCGAATGAGGCATGTTCTGCGGCTGTGGTCGAAGCTTGGCGATCTCTTCTCGACATTCGTCGACCCTACCGCCCCCAAGCCGCGATGAGAGTTCCGTCGCGGAGAATTGCGACGGCAATTGATCCATCGCGGGGCTACAGCATGACATGATCGCTCTTCCGCAACGATTGCCAGGACTCCACTGAACCGGGGCGGATGTGATACTGACACACCAAGAAATGAAGCCCGTTGTGCACCGCTTTCGCGTCGTCGTGGCGGAGAGGCCTTTTGGAGCTCAACGCTGTCTTTGGCCATGTTCCGCTGAGATACTGCCTCGGCGGGAGTGAATCACAGTATGACTCTGGCTATCCAGGACTTGCCGGATAACCCAGTCATGGCCCTCGTGATGACACTGCGGCATGGCCAGGGAGTGCAGTGAGCAGGTACCGAGTTACCGACCCGCCGGTGAGGGTGTGTGCAGTTCGGGGCTGCTGCAGTGATAGCATGGCCAAGTGGGTGACCATTGGCCGAGTTTCGTGTGACTTAAGACACACAGCCTTGTGTCAGACACGCATCCCCGTGTGAGACATGGTGTTCCCGTTTTCGTCCCAAGCTTCGTGACGTCGGCCGTATCGTGGACGGCAATGGCATCTTCCTCAATCGTGAAAGTTGCGCTCATGGCCTGCTACAAACGTCTAATGAGATGCAAATCCTTGCAGAGGTGTGCTGGCTGAGAGTTGAGACCCGAGAGCCTGAGCGGGACGGCAAGTGCGGTCCCATGGCCGTGGTTTGGAGAGGAACCAGGGCCCATGTAAATGCCCGGGGGAGTGGCCGTAACATGGGGTTCCTGGCATCCACATATCCTCATGGTCTGCTGCACTGCTGGGCAGGCGGATCAATTGAGCCATGCCAGGTCGCTGGTCGTCAGCACGACAGCCGCGGCGGCTAGCGTTCTGCACCCAAACCCACAACTTGGTCTGCAGCGATCGGAGTTGGCGCACTCGGCAAGAGTACATGTTGGACTTGGTTGAGGAAGCGGGCCCGTGCTGTCGCCCTGGCCCCCAGCACACGGAGATCCAGAGTGCGTGATGTACAATGGGTGTTGCGCCGAGCCTAGAGGTGAATCGCGAGCGGCAAGTATTGGTTCAAACTGGACTCGATACGGACGGAGACGGCGATCTCGTGCACTGGATTTGAGACAATCGTGACAGGCGAGGCTCGGAAGCCCGTGGCGCATCGGTGACGGCGCCGGGCGTCAGCGACACCCTGGAGTGTTGCCGCGCCTCAGGCCATGACATGCCTCCGGCTCTATTCTAATTACCTGTTCTGACCAAGTGCCGACGGGCTGCGAGGACTCTCCGGTGGCACGTACGTGGACTTTGGTGGACTTACATACACGGGACTGTACGAGCAGTGGCCGACCACGACAGCTGCCGGGGGTTCCGTGGAGCCGTGGTGCGAGGCTGCGAGGCGGTGCCTGCGCGGGCCGCAATGAGCAGTCGCGGCATGCCGTCATGGCCGCCGTGGTGGACTCGTGGACTCGTGGACCTGGGGTGTGGCCCAGCGGACGGGCTGGCGGGCGTCTCGGAGGGCGACGCGGCGGATTGCGCGGAGGCAGACGAGGCTGCGGATCTGTCTCCCGGAGGGCGCTGGGTGGTGGTTGTGGTTGGTGCTGGTGCCGGTGCCTGCCGTGGCCGAACGGTTCCTGGCTTGATTCCACGGCCATGCACTTTCGCACCGAACACAGGCGGTGGTGGTGGTGGTGGTGGTGCGGCTGCTGCTGCTGCTGCTCCTTGGCTCCATCCCGTCGTTGAAGGGCGGGCGGCCGGTCGGGGGTCGCACGACAGCCAGGGCACCCAGGCCTCTGTCGTCACAGCGCTGGGTACGGGCTTGCAGGCTCCGGGACTGGGACACGTGGAGGGGAGCACCGAAAGAAGACACCTCACGCCAGAGATTGGACGCGTGCCGGCATGACAGGACTGACTCGCCGGCGACGGGAATTGCAGGCTCTCGGACCTTGATGTTCGGCTGTCGTGTCCAATTTCTGATTAGGGACGAAACTGGGGGGAGATGCAAACCAGCATCACCCACGTCCGTCTGCCACTTCCCTGTCAGGGCGAGACTTGACGGCCGGCGAGCCGCACCTTCCCCCACAATCCTCCAACAATCACAGTTGAGGCAAGTACGGAGAACGGTTACGAGTACGAGTGCAAATGCAGGTGGTGGTGTAATTACACGCTGTGGAGGAAGGTGCAGTGCATGTGATGTGATGTAATGGATGTGATGGATGTCACAAGTTTTCTCCCCAGGATACGCCGTGCACGGTACCAAACTTGGCCATCTCACGCGCCTTCGGCGATGATTTCAAAGCTCCGCGAGCCATCTGTCAACACCAATTCATTTTTGACAGCCATGATTCCTCCTCGTCCTCACCCGATCCGACTGCGGCCAGCGTCCCCCCAGGCAGCCCGCGCCTCACACACCTCCGGACGGTAGCGCACCCACCTCCAGGGCTCGTCCAGGCAGGTACCTGAGTTACCTGCCCCGAGCCTGCCTCAAGTCCCAGCAGTTCGTCAGTGGACCTCCCCCGGGCCCCTGCCAGTTCAGCCCTGTGCTGCAGCTGGACCGTCCAGGCCCCCAATTCCACCTCGCCAGAAACGGCACAGCGAATGCCCACTTGGTCCAACGCCCGGGCGACGCTGATGACGGACGCCAGAACACCAAGACTCCAAAAAGTCGTCGCGGTTGCTTGCGCTGGCCCGCACACC